TATATATGAAATATCACATTGAGCGCAAGGACAAACGCTCATTCATGGCAGAGGTCAAACAGGTTCAGATCTCCTTCGACACTGATGTTAGCCATGGACGGGTATCCAACTCAGGTGGCCAGGTTCGTGGCGCAGTGCGCGAATCGCTGTGCCAGCATTCCAGTAATACCGACATTCTCTCACAGACCTTGGGATGTAAGCTCATAAATCAGAGGTAGTAGTGGGCCATGCAGCTCGGATAAGTGTACAAAGGACTTGACTATTTTAAACTATTAGCCCATACGCCTTACAAATCGTTGCTTTGTGCAGTGTATATTTGTGTGGTTTATTCATGTGTAGAAAACAACAACAAACATGTGAGCCAGTCAATAGATGGTATATGTACGGACTTTTTGTCAATCCACTGCTAGGTGAGGTCCTCCCAAAAACGTGCGTTTTTGCGGGGTGGGGTTACTTGACTAAACATAATATAATTTCAAATTAAAACTAAGAGGCTATAGCATAGGCCATATGTCTTGCTTATCACCTTCAGCTGAATCCTTCGGCAGTCAATCTGTTGACTCTCTTAACTGCCAAGCTAAACTTAATGAGAATGTCAGTCTGTTAATCGTGTACGTGTTGAACAGCGCTTGTTACACTGCTATGGGGAAGTGTGCTGGCCAATGAATTCCATTCGCATACCGTCTTAAACATTGTGTCCAACAGTGAACACCCTTCGATGCAAACGATATATATTCCGCTGTCCGGTAGACAGTAATATATATGCATGCGTGCAAGATAGGTGGGCAATTAATGAATGTATTGTGCAGGCGTGGGTGTTTTGACTGTATCGTACAAATGTGTCAGTATTCAAACACACACACACAGCAATGTATATGTGCAATTGCTATCGTGCTTGAACCGTTACGAGTGCGCACAACGCATGCCGTGACACGTCGGCAGTGGGCAAGCAACTGCGTACGCACGCACGCGCGGCGCATGCCACCGCGTATAGCAGCAGCAGCAGCAATAGCTCTTGCAGCACATCATACGCCACCGCATTCTCGAGAGAGAGAGAGAGCAACGCCGAACGGGGAAGGCTTCCCCCCGTTGCGCTTACCCGAGTGCGACGATTGTGAGCCGGCGGAGACAGCGGCCGTCGGACGCTGGTCGCACCGTTATATGCGGATGAATGACAGCGGCGATTCCGCAGGCGACCTCCCGATTCACCACCGCTCAACGCAGGCAGGCATCAGCTGTGCGGTGGGTGGGGTGGAGATGGTGTGGTGTGTGTGGGGGGGTGGTGGTGGTGATGTCATTCGTGAACAGGGTCCGCGTCGCACGTCCCCAACCCCACCGGCGTTTTCTCGAGATCCCCATTGGACAATGGGGAGAAAAGTGGGCGTTGCCAAGGGAGTTGCCGGTGACGGGCTTGTTGGGTGCGTGTGGGTGAAAACACGTGGGAAGGAATGTCGTCGACACGTGGGTTGAAGGTTTTACGCAGACGTCATTGGTGAGCAATTTAACACGCAGGCTTTCGCGACCAATATCATCATCCTCCATAATAAGATGTTTTTTGGTTAGATCGCGTAAATATATAAATATGTCGTGAAAACCGGCCACCACCCGACACAGCCAACTCGTAAGGGTTGTCACGTAAACAGAACAAATCTGGCTGTCGCCTGATGAAGCTAGTTGTAATTACTGGCGAAACGTCGTACTCAGATTGTAAATGTTGTGGCTTGGCTCTCCAACACACCGGCGTGCTGTACCAGTGACGAATTGGCCACGTTCTGTTTACGTGTCGGGTGGCGGCGAGTTTAACGACACATTTATGTATTTACGCGATATAACCCAAAAACTTCTATTATGGTCACTGGTGATGTCGGTGGTTGATGTGTGCGGTGTTCCGTTGCCTCAAGATACACCTAGCCTGGCACGCACGCCGCGGTGACGTCACCGCTACTTGGGGACTAATCCCGCCCGGTTGTTGTTGTGGCTATGGTGCCGGAAAACAATACGGGGCTTGTAAGATTAGTACGTTAATACAGTACACGATTCTAGCGGTAGCTTATATTTAAAAAGCGACATAACGTCTCATACTCTTTGGTTCTTTCGGTATTTTATTTTATTTTCTACCTACTACGTGACTTTACCGAAAGAACCAAAGAGTATGGATCCCTACAGTCACGAAAACTTCAGATCTAGATTATAACGTCTCATGTAATGTTGTATGCAACTCGTCACACTCATAGAACACGTATCAAAATTCTAGATGATGGTTCTCAGAAAATACTTTTGGGCTGAAGATTAATATCAATTGATAACGCTCCTGTCAATCACCGACTGTTTTAGTGTCACTTTAAACGGTTTTATGTCCAAATACGCAAACATTAACGTCTGCAATCTGTTATAAATAACTCACCGGGTTTATAATTAACTTTATTGTGGCAGTAAAACAAATCGTTTTAAGAAAATCTATTACACATATAAATACATACAATATACCGTCGAAGCTGGTATTAACTCCATAGCAAAAATATGTTCACAGCTTTGTGATGGTATTTCATTTATATTGGCACAAACTACATTTTTTTAGGCGCGTTAAATGAGAGTAGAACGATTGTATACTGTACTTGTATCATTCATTTTTCTCGCTACTTAGAAATCCAGTTTATGTTTAGCTGCAGATGACAAGGTTAGGGCTCGGGTGACTGTTTGCGTGTCGAGGCAAAACGTCAATCAATTCCTGGAACAGTTGTCTCGCACAAATCGCCTTTGCAGAGTAAACAGGTCAGAGCACGCGTCAAGGCGGCAGTAGACGGCGTCCCTTTTAAAGAGCGGCACATGTCAAAAGCAGGACCCGTGGTAGTGATGTATCAAGAGTCAAGAGGCATTGGTGCATCCACGTGACACCGTTGGTATGTGTTCTTTAAAAAAAAAGAACACATACCAACCAATTCCAATTCAGGCAATGATGTTTAACGGGATAACTTTAGTGTGCTGTATATAATAACGGGGGGTTTGTTTCAGCGCAAAAAAATTATATCCTTTGTTAAGGCAAGTTGTACAAATGAAATTAAGTTTAAAATATTATTTTATTTTACCAGGTTAGGCCCACTGAGCTTTATATAAATGAAAGTGCGGTAGTATAAGGATTTGATTTTATATGCCACTTAAATGCCACGCGTCTGGAAATACACGGAGAAATGAAATCAGGTGACGGACGAATAGTGGAAAAGGAGAGAGGGGAAGAGGTGAGCAAAATACATGTTTAAAAAGCATGCATGAAAAAAGTGGTATAGAATTGAGAATTAAATATTTGGCCCTTAAAGTCTGATGATTTCCAACAGCCTTTTCTCAAGCAGATTTGTCATATGAAACAGCAAATCCACAACGACGCGAATAATTGTTACTGTTTCCTTTACGGATCGTCTTATGCGGTTAAGACGTTTATCGATTTTAACCGATGAACACCTCAGCAATGACCTTACCCAAAATAAACTGACTAATCTTAGCAGTGTCTTAAAATATATAATATATGCGAAGTTTAGGACAATGGCATTTCTTCTCGTCACATAAATAGAGGCCAGACATATAGCGTTAATCGTTAATCAGGGTTGGAGACTGCAAATTAAAGTTAAAACATGTTTTCTGATTACCAGTTTTGTTTTTAAATAGGCATATGAAGTTAACTTATAGTAGCTACTGAGTCGCAAATAATCCCTTAGGGGCAGTCCATAAATGACGTCACGCACCTAGGGGGGGAGGGTCAGACATTTGTGACGATGCGTGACGAGGGGGGGGGAGAAATGTGACGTCACATCAATATGCGCAACTTTCAATAAATATAGACAACACGTTCTACTAATTAAATATACTTTTTAATAAATGTTTTCTCCTACAGCATCAGTGCAGCACCACATTAAATACGCACTACAATGACAATAGTTTAAAGCGATTTTAAGCATGTTTTATATATTTTGGGGGGGGGGGGCCGAGCTTTGTGACGTCATATTTGAGGGGGGTCTGACTTTTTGTGACGCAAGTGTGACGAGGAGGGGGGGTCAAAAATCGTCCAAAATCGCGTGACGTCATTTATGGACGGCCCCTTAATTAAATAAAAGTATATCTCCCATAAATTTCGATTTAAAGCTTTCGTGACTGCAGGGATTCATATTCTTGGTTCTTTCGGTAAAGTCACGTAGAAGTGAAATAATAAAATAAATAAAATTAAACAATTAAATTCTCACGACGTTTCGATTGCAACACAAGCAATCATCATCAGGTGTGAAAACCAGCATGGTTTTCGTGATAATTTTATTGTTTTATTTTTATTCTTTTATTATTTCCCTTCTACGTGACTTTACCGAAAGAACCAAGAATATATATCTCCCATACTCACTGGTTGCATTCTTTAGGCCCAATCTCAGCACTGGAGCATCTGAGCTATAAGACGAGGAAGAAGAATACACACAGTGCATGGGCTACATTCCTGAACATTAGAAGTCTTAAATTACCTGAGCCCAGAATGGCAATGACTAACCCCCCTCCCCCAAAGACAATCCCCCCCCCGCCTGCTCTTGATTAGTCCAGTGTTGCCTGAGACCGTCGATTAATTTGGAAAAGCCGTCCGTAATGTGAGGATGTTGCAATGTCTGATGTGAGGGAGGATGTGGGATAAAAACATTTTATTGAAAAAAAATCAGGACGTAAACTCAACTGGCAATGATGAAGCAACACGTGCCACAACACAGGCTGCGAGTGTGCGCGTCCCCTTTGAAAGCGGGAGGGGGGAAGGGGGGAAGACGAGGGGGCGGGGAAATGTGGGGGGGGCGGAGGCTCGCTACGCGCATGCGCACTGACGTCTCAGCGACCACAATAATAAAGCACGCTTGGCTGTCGCGTTTTATATTCCGTAGCGCGGATAGACGACGCGAGGCGGCGGCTCCCGCGCGCTGATTGGTCCGGGCGCGCACGTGGAAGGAAGCCCCCCTCCCCCCCCGCCGCGAGCCTCCGCTACCGTGGCTTATCCGGGCTAGGAAATGTAAAAGGCGCTGGTGGGACGAAGACCGTCGTTCCGCGCCCCCCTCCGCCTTGGCCGCCGCCGTCCGCGTCTCTTTACCGCCGCCCGCGAGAGTTTGGAGCGGTGGCCTCGGTCCGCTGCGGTGACCGCGGTGTGTGCCCTTCCACCTCCTCCACCTCCTCCTCCTCTACCATCGCCTCCTCGTTCTCTCGGCTCCCTTGTCCCTCTCCCCCCCCCCCCACTCCTCGTCCGACCCCGCCGCACGTAGTCGGGGATCGTCCGTGCGCCGCTTTGAATGCGAAGCGTTTTGTTTACAAAGGACAAGCGCGGCCTCGCAGTGCAAGTTTTACTATATATAAAGAGCACGACCACCCCGGGGAAATGCTGATGGTCACTCATGAGGGTGAAACTGAGGCAAACAAATGTGTGTGGTGTGTTATGTAGTGATGTGTACGAGAGCTGTCACTCGGGGTGAGACCGGCTGACATGGTCACTAATGATGGTGAAACCCGGGTAACCAGGTGTGGTTTAATGATGATTACTAATGGTTTGACACCGGTATGAGAGTTGTGGCTGAATGAATACCGAACCGATGGGGGTAAAAGCCGGTTTAATTGCTCTACCGTACCAAAGAGCAACAGTGAGGGTGGAAATGAAATGATTAACGTGGTATTTGATATAATCGTGTGTGTGTAAGGGGCTGTCATACCGACGATCACGGATATGGTTGAAATCTAAATGAGGGTTGTGGCTTACTGATAGGCACTAATAACGATCAAACCCGTGTAAGTACCGTGGATTGCTGATAATTACTAGAATGAAACCGAAGGAAGGACAGTGGATTATTAATGATCACCAATGAGGGTGAGACCCGTGTAAGTGCTGCGGATTACTGATGATCACTTTCTTGGAGTTAAACCAGAAGTAAACCTTTTGTTTAATATAATTACCATGCACATAAGGGTGGTAATACGGTAATATACTGATGTTCACAAATGAATATTGTTGACATTGGGATGTGTGTAACTGGGGCGGCCGCGGTGGCGAGATGTTATCTCCCTCGCCTCGTATGAACGAGGTTGTGGGTTCGATCCTGACCCTGACACCTGTACATATATTTGAAGAATGCATGTTTCTCTCCCCGTGGTCGTCTGGATTTTTTTTCTTTTCCGGATCGTCCGGTTTTCATCTCCACGTTTAAGATCAACATGCGTTAAAAGAATTTGGCTGCTATGCATTTCCACGTGATAAGCCACTTCGTTCAGCTATCATTTGTGGCCAGGTCTTTTTTGAAAAATGAGCGATACAGCAAAGCTCAGTGGCCCCTACAATGGTAAAATTTAAAGAAATAGTCACTGGGTTATTGCTCAATAATGAGGGGGAAATTGTTAATAATGCACATGATCCATGATTGTTGTGTGAATATTAATATCTCTAGCTCATTGCTGGTGTTCTGGTATTGTGTCATGTCCAAGGTGACCTGTACTGTACTGTTTACTCATGCTTTAATCATGATATGCAGCGCTGGTGGCTTTACAACTAATTTTAAACATGCACATTTTACACTGTGTTAGGTATGGCAACCTCTCCTGCTACAAGACATGCCCATGGAATGTGACAGCAGCTTGGATTAAAGCTCTTTCTCCATTGAATTCTGTCAGTAGGTACTGTCAAATATGCAATTGAGCTTCACAGTAGATTGGCAATATTTCAACAGCAGATGGTTACCCAATTAAGCCTTTGTCTTGCTCTCATTTTTTTTCTCCAAGAGACTAATTCAAAATCTTCGCTTTTATTGCCCACAAAGAGTTTTTAACTGTGTACTGATGGAAGTAAGGCAAGGTACAAATAATAATTTCAGAATATATTATCGATTCAAGAATGTATTCATTTCAATCTCTATATCTTTAAAATGTACCCTTTAATGAGCTTAAATGCTACATTCACAAAATTCGCATATATAATTATTTTACAAACAATAGATATTTACACTCACGATTTCATGAGTGATATCGTGAGCATGATAATCGATTTTAATTGACGAATCTGCATTATGCCTATACTATGTAATATAAGAGCTTGGCGGATGCTGGCTCGTGCCTTCCTGGCCACTGAACTGGTGCGACAGCGGCCAGTAGAGAGTTGCATTGAGGAACTTCCACTGTTTGTGCACTCGTGCGTTTACATCTGCAGAGACGCAGAGATGTTCGGCGCGGGCGCCCAGAGCCAAAGCACTCGTGCCGAGTTCCTGGACCGAGCGCGTGTGGCGCGGGAGGAGCGGCGAGGCCAGCGGGATCGAGAGCGTGCCGCCATCAAGATCCAAGCACTAGTGCGCGGCTTCCTGTGTCGCCGATGCATTGCCCGCCGCACTCGGTAAGGGAGTAGTCTTTTTTTCTGTTACAATTATTTTTTCGCATTGTGGGGAGTTGGTCTGCAGCATTCATGGCAAGGTTGTTGAGCCAATTTGACGGCTTAAGGAGTAGCCTGATAATGATTTGAAAGCTGCCACAAAATGGTTGATGTACACCATAGTCTACTTTGCAGTCCATGGTTTGAGATTGGTGACCACAAATGCATTGTGGGCTATTAATTTTCCATCATTCGTTGGAAACAGCCAAATCTGCCATGCAAAGGTGCTGGAGTGATTCATTGCAGGTAAATACAAATGGGGAGGTTCATAAAAAAATAATTATTATGGTTTTTATATATTAATGCAAACTGCATCTCACAATGCTGCACATGCGCAACATATAAAGGTGCATGTGTATTAAGATGTTTGAAGCCAATAAATGAGTGTTAATTCTCCTGGGATTTGCAATTAACAAAATCGAAGAGACATTGGCAGTATCCCAAATTACTCCACACTGAATCTCAGGATTGAATGAGGCTACTACTTTGAGAGCCTTCCCTCAAACCCAAAGAAGATTCTAGGACTAATATAGACTTTCAGAGGTTTTGAAGTTCTGTAAAAATTATAACATGTTATTTTGTTACCCCGAACTTATCCATCTTATATTCTTGGTTCTTTCGGTAAAGTCACGTAGAAGGGAAACAATAAAATTATAAAAATATAAAACAATACAATTCTCACGACGTTTCGACTGCAACACAAGCAATCATCATCAGGTGTGAAAACCACAGCAAGAAAATTTGAAAAAAGTGGCGTTTTTTTATGTTAGCACCACGGAGAGCGATTTTACAGTTTGTTCAGATGGACGAGTCCATCTATGTTCGGAAAAGAGGAGAGGGGAGACGAAAATAATGGATGCGGTCTGAAAGCCACCGTAAGCGTGAACAATCAATTAAGACCCGAAATGGTTTATCAAATCCATCCAATGATTGCTAAGCCAGAATCCATATTCTCGGTTGAAATTGTGTCTTGTGTTTGTATATGTGGATAGCCTCATGAACGAATCTCTCATGGTAGCTGTGGTTTTCACACCTGATGGTGATTGCTTGTGTTGCAGTCGAAACGTCGTGAGAATTTTATTGTTTTATATTTTTATTATTTTATTGTTTCCCTTCTACGTGACTTTACCGAAAGAACCAAGAATATGAATCCCTGCAGTCACGAAAGCTTTAAATCAAAATTTATCCATCTTATTTCAGGTGGTCTATCCAGATTATTGATTTTTTTTCTCAGAAATGTAAAGTTTGCTTAAAGTTAAACATTCATTCATCCTCAATCTGAAAGTATCAAACACTCGGATTTGTTTACTTACGGACATCAAAAGAACTCTCCATTTCCCAAGGTGTCCTTTTATGCCAGTAGTGCGGCCAGTCAAATTACCCAGACTGTTATGTCAAATATACATTGAATGTATTTGTTTATAGAGGCAGAAACATTTGACAGGTGGTAAGGACGTTTGTATAAAACAGGCACTTTTGTATTTTATAATGAAATAAAGCATCTGAGAGAGCACCTCACACCAGCACACGTGTACACCCCATAGGAGACATTTATGCGAGCGAACATACTAGATTTGCTTTGCACAAGATTTATATTTGCAATTGTAAATCTGCAATTGTTAATCTTTCATGAAGTGATCGTGAAATCTGGCTTTCAATCTTCATCGAAACCAGCACAAAAAACACTGAACCTCCTTGTGTAGGCTCTTGAAGGTAACCACAAGCTCATGAATCACTCGCAATGAAGAGGTGTTTAGTAATTTGCAGTTGTTTGGCATGGATGCTTGAAATTCATACAAATAGGTACTGTGTCTTCTTTGTAGGCACGAGGTGGATGAGTTTTTCTCTGCACAAGAAGCCAGTCCTGCAAAAAAGAATGCTCTCTGTCTGTTTAAAATTGGGCAGAAGCTACTCTTCATCTTTAACACAGCAGAAGATATCAAGGCAAGTATATGTTTTGGATTTAGTGTTTCTTTCAACTATTCTCTTTCAGTTTTCAGTTTCTCATGAATATGCTACTGCATGTAAAAATAAATCCCTTTGTATCCCTTTTTTCATCTTAAGTAGGTCGTTATTTCTATTATGGCATTTACTGGGATTTAAAAATATTTTTTTGTGCCCCTTGGCTAAGTACAATTTTTAGTTCAATGTTTTAATCTTGGCATAGAGCAGTGGCAGTTTATCAGCACTGCTGTATGAACCCAGTGACCTGCTTTTGTTTGCAGGCCACAGCTAACGTCAGTGATATCTGAACCAGTCCTGGCTCCCTCCCATCCCCTTCATGAGTTCACATTAACCAGTGTAGTAAAGTGTGGTCAAACATCTCCCATTCCAACAGTGGATTGGTACAGGGCTGATAGTTATTATTATTTTTAGTTTTAAAATATATTCGTGAAATTTATGTTTTGCGGATATAGGGCAATGTACTCATGTGTGTGTTTTTTCGGCAGAGGTTTGAAAAGTTCTGCCGGCACTTGCTGAGCAGTATGGAGGAGGATAACGACTCCAAGGTATGCGAGACATTACAGTGCACATATATTAAGACTGATGCTTGTAAGCTCCATGATAAATGTAAATGGGCATCGTCTTTAATATCCAAGTGTGAATTAAGCTTCGAGTGTGATAAATCGTGCACAGTCATCAACCTGTGCCCACTCGAGGTGGATACTGAAATGGATCTGTCTGCATTTCACATCGCTGCCTGGTGTGCAAGTAACAGTTTGTTCCTAGGTGTGGTATGTATCCCTGGCACTCTCTAAAGACTACATGCTACGTTGGATCAAACAGCTCAAGGACGTCCTTTCGATCTGCTGTAGTTACTTAAAGAAACTAAAGGTACTGCAACGTTACAAAAAGTGACACTTTTGATAGATAAGCTGGAATTCCACAAACTGTTTAATGTGCACCTTTGTCGTGGGAGAAAACCTAGTGTTTAAGGGGCAATGATTTTAATTAATGTGGGAAATTGTTTTCTTTCCCTTCAGCCGGAAAGTATCTTGGATACAAAACAGATCACGCTGTTTCTCACGGTCCTCGTGACTTTCACTGATGCTGGGGGCTGGAGAATGGTGCGGGTCAAAGGTGAGAGGTCAGGAAATTTCAGTGGGAATTACACGCTTGGAAGCAGCTCCTAAAATTAGGAGGGGAGAAGATTTTTGTGTAGGAATCAACTATTAAAAATAAACACTTAAAATACTTACAATACACCGGAGTTTATTATCATGGTTGTTAATCAGATTTGTTTGATATTCAGGAACATGGTTAGTTCGCCTTTGTAGGATAACAATTCATCACGTAACAATTCATCAATGGAATGGTTTGTAATCCTCAAAGTGTCATATCGTGCCTGCTCGAACAAAGAGATGTGTGTTTTACTTATGTAAATGTTATGCAAATGTTTCATTTCGATTATTATGAGAACAAACTAAATAAACATAAACAATACAATTTGTTACCTACTTGATTATGTGTACTCGAGTGAGACTGAAACACCGAGCCATGTGTTGCAGGTGACACTTTTAAGATCAGCATGAATCTCATCTGTGCAAATGTTATGGGACATCTGAACCAGAAAGGACTCTACCCCGACTTACAGGTGCCCATGTCCACTAACTTTTAGCCGACGTTACTTAGTACATATGTATAGACGCAAACACATATAGCTATTGACTATCTTAGCTTAGTCCTTCGAATAGGTTGCTTAATGTGTCACTAAATCATCAGGCAATCCATGTTTGCATCTCATCGAATTGTGTCATCAGTCGAAACTCTTTCCACAACACATACATATTATATATCCTTCTGCACTGTTTGATTCCAACTGGTCAGCATTCATCCTATATCAATATCATGGGTGTAACAATATTCACCCTATCGCTGTGATTCAGTGATTTGTCGCAATGCAGGGTTGTGATTCGATTCAGGATTATTGTTTTTTTACATTGTGGTGCACCACCCAACAATCCAGTTTCCATGCATGCAAGCGATCAATGAATTACAAACATTACAAACAGCTGTTTTCAAGTTGCTAATAATGCTGTAGTTGAAGCTTCAGGGGGTAACAGTCTTCCACTTATCTCTCAGATACTAATGACCAACGGACTGGCAAGGGTTGTACCAACTTTGAACAAAGCTACACTGACAGCTGTATTCACAGTTGCACTACGGTAAGTCTTACTGGTTTCTATTGAATTTTGGACTATAAACATGTAATACAACCTTTACTTTTAAATTATACTAACGCATATATGTAATTTATTTACAGGCCTGTGGTCGCAGCCAAGTTTTCGGAAAACTTGCTAAGATCATTCACATTACACGTGCTGTCCGTTCCGGCGTTAGTGCTGCACCTGTCCAATATTGCCCCCGAGGTGAGCCAAGTGAAACACTTTCTCTGCAGTTCACCTCGCAAAGAGCCCCAGCTAACAGTACAACTCTGGTAGATCAATAGCAGTGCTTTGTTTGAACTTTGTTTTTCCACAGTGCTTAAACATGATGTCAGGACACGACTTGTTTCGGAAAGTCTTGACATTCCTGAGGCAGAAGGATTATCAAGAGGATATCTGCATTTGCCTTGAAGGCACCATGTCCCTTTGTCTGCTCGGTAAGTTGTTGAAAATGTGTTGCTTTGTAAGAAAAATTTGAAATGATGTCATCCAAATTATTTAGAATAAGTGCACACTCTTAATTGTATTGTATAAAGCAGTGGTTCTGAACCATTACTGCAGCCTTGCACCCCTTTGGTTCTCAGAAAGGACATTTCGCGCCCCCAGGGGGTGCGTACACCCCAGGTTAAGAACTACTGGTCTCAAGTAAGGCTGTGTGCATTATACACAGTATGGTGATATTATGTCATGTGCAGGACATGATGGGAGAACTGAGCCTATGGTCACGTTCGCACCTCTTGCTGAATAGAGATCACAGTTTCATAATAAAGGTTTTTGGGTTAGATCGCGTTATTTAAAAATGTGTTGCAACCCTCCACCACCCGACACGGCCAGTCAGTAAAAAATGTATCACGTTGACAAAATACAAATAGTTCACTACTTTAGCCCACCGGTGTGTTGAAGAGTGAATCCACAACATTTACAGTTTGAGTACGACATTTCGCTGGTAAATACATCCAGCATCATCGGGCAATTCGCCAGAATGGTAAAGCCCTCACTTGCTCCCGGTTTTATATAGAGCAGCAGGGTGACGTCATCATTTAACTCATCAGGTGCAGTGATTAGAGACGGAGGGGGGGGGGTATTGTAATTATATAATCAATTAGTAATCAGTCAATGGTTATGATTAGTAATGAGTTGTAGATTAGTAATTAGTTGTAATGTGTGTTAGTGATTATATGCTATGTTAGTAATCCGTTAATTAGTATGTGTTTCCCCTATAAGGAATTGTAATGTGCATTCATATTCTTAGCTCCCTCGGCATAGCCACGCCGAAGGGAAACAACAAAACAACAAACATAGATATTCTATTATTTTATTGCTTCCCCCAACGCGACTCCACCGAAAGAGCCAAGAACATGAATTACTGCAGTCACGAAAGCTTTAAATCAAAATGTAATGTGTATTATTTAATAATACGCTTCCAGACCGCACTAAGCCTGTAGCTGTCAGAGCGATTAAAGTTATTCTTATTTCTCTCAATTTCAATGGATTCTCTAATTAGTCTTTGCCAGTAATAATTAGTTTTACATAAATGATGACGTCACCCTGCTGCTCTATATAAAACCGGGAGCAAGCGAGGGCTTTACCATTCTGGCGAATTGCCCGATGATGCTGGATGTATTTACCAGCGAAACGTCGTACTCAAACTGTAAATGTTGTGGATTCACTCTTCAACACACCGGTGGGCTAAAGTAGTTAATTATTTGTCTTTTGTCAACGTGACGTCATTGGCCGTGTCGGGTGGTGGAGGGTTACGACACATTTATAATTAACGCGATCTAACCCAAAAACCTTTATTATGAATAATATTGGTCGCGAAAGCCTACGTGTTAAAGATCACAGTTTTCCTGTAGTTCCCGTATTTGTTCACACCCTGCAAATACTTCCACCCAATTAATTTCTCATCGTTTACAGAAAGTGTTAGAATTGGTTTAAGTTGCACTTATATTATTACCGACAATGAACGTAAACTGAATCTGACTTTACCTTCACTGGTGCTAACCTTTATTTGTCTTTATACAGGAAATTTAATCATGCTGGCATTGTTAAATGAGAGCTTACTTGAAGAGGAGACAGAGGCATTTAGTAGCCTGGTGACTTCAGTGCTGACCTACTGCCAGAAATATGTTCTGCAGAAGAAGTCCAATCTCACTCACTGGCACCCTGTACTTGGCTGGTTCGCACAGAGCATGGATTATGGGTCAGTAAACACCTACCAACTTTACTCATTGTTTTTTTTCGGTAAAGTCACGTATGTAGAAATACCACAAAATGATATAAAATGTATTTATTTGTTTTAATATAATTTTGTGGTATTTCTACATACGTGACTACCGAAAAAAAAACGAGTAATTTATGCAGTCACGAAAGCTTTAATTACCTACCAACTTTGTTTGATTCCAAACAGCATGCAGACTGCCTTGGGACACATTACCTTTAAAGAACATCCTGCAATGTTATAAAATATCTTGTTGGCTCGGAATAACAATACAGCCCCCTCTGGGCACTACTGTATGAAGACCCCATGCCTCCTTTAAATGAGAATCTGTGCCAGTCATTCAGTCATTTATGCAAGATTACCAAGTTCATACTCATAATAATTCATAGACACTGTCAGTACACTAATGGATGAAATTGGGCCTCTCCACATATCTATCATAAGGGTTGATTGATTATACTTCACCACGCTGGTTAGTGTGGGTTGATGAAAAGGAGCAACCTAGGACTGTTTCAGATTTCACTTGCCACTGATATTATCCTTAGCTGGGAATCAAACTCGGGTTACCTTGTTTGCAGTGTGGTGTGCTAACCACTGTACCACTCTTCCCCAATATATGGATATAAATTCTGTAATATGCTATAGATTGTACATTATTGACATGATTTTTGTTTAACTTATGCAAGTTAGGAAATTATTATAGCAAGATCTTTTTTTTTTTACTTAGACTTAACTTTCACAGTACTTGACGTTTCACTGCAGAAGAAAGCGAGATTTGAAAGAGCCAGTTATAAAATAAATGAATTATTATCTTATTAAATTGCACAAACAATTGATGAGTACGCGGCAACCCGTTGCCTGATGATGCTGCTGTTATGCCGAGCAGGCTGAACGAGGCCATGCCCGCTGTGACGAAGCAGCTGCAGTCACTGTGGGGTATTCGCATGATCCGGGTGCTCTTCCGGGACGTGCTCACGCGCAAGCTGGCAGAGGGACAGGAGCCGGCCCTGGCAACCGCCCCACCTACTGCCGCCGTCCCAAATGACAAGCCCGTGAAAAGTAGAGAATGCCACCGTCCACACGTACAAAACTGCAAACATCGCTGACAGCAGCCATTGTAATTTCAAAACATGAACTTGCACATGTGCAGCCCGTTTTTATCAGTCTACTGCTGGATGAGGATCTCCCCATGCCTTGTGCTCCATGAGAGATATTTGACCATGCTTCACTGGTCAGTGCAGGTTTACGAAGGTGGTGGGGGAGGGCATAACAACAATGGATTTTCGGGACTGTCCTCTGCTGCCGCATTTTTACACATGATCAACCCATCCAAGCAATATTCAGATTCAACCCTGATTAGCTTCTGAGATCTAACGAGATGGGACACAATTTACCTGATTTGGTCATCACAAAATTGGTACAAATTTTAACCATATGGATTCTGATTATTTTCAGCAAAGAGGGTTGGTTATACTATCAGTTGCCAAAAATTAGTGTTTTATAGTATTGGCAGACGTTTTACGAATTTGGCAATTGACAGGAAACAATTTTCTATGTAGAAATTATCTTGGCAAGAAATGGATACTGGTTTTGGTAAGCATATATTAGGATTTTGATTTAAAGCTTTCGTGACTGCAATAATTCATATTCTTAGCTCTTTCGGTAAAGTCACGTTGAAGGGAAACAATAAAATAATGAAATATATATATTAAACAATAAAAAATCTCACGACGTTTCGACCATAACACAAACGGTCGTCATCAGGCGTGTCGGTTCGCATTAATTTATTCATTTTTGAGCGATTTATTTATAAAAAACGTCAGCGCCACGCGCAGCGATTTGACAGTTTATTTAGAAGGACGAGTCCATCTATGTTCTGAAAAGAGGAGGGGGGTGACGAAAAATTAATGTATGCTGTCTGAAAGCCACTGTAAGCGTGAACAATTAAGACCTGAAATGCTTTATCAAATCCTTCCAATGATTGCTAAGACAGAATCCATCTTATCGGTTGAAATTGTCTCTGTGCTTGTATATGTGGATAGCCTCATGAACGAATCTTTCATGGTAGCCAGATGGCTTGCAAAGAACCTCTGTCTTAGAGAAGTCAATGTCATGTGAGCCTACTGAATTATAACAATGATCTGCCACGGCCGAGGTGTTCGTCCTACCGTGTTTTAGGTCTGCTTTGTGTTCACGAATGCGGTCCGAGACATGTCGTTTGGTTTCTACAATGTAACTACTACCACAGAGGTAACTTAGTTTGTAGACGCCAGGGTACTGTATGTCCGGAATCACATCTTTTACAGACGGAACCAGATCTACGTGACTTTACCGAAAGAACCAAGACTTTGAATCCCTGCAGTCACGAAAGCTTTAAATCAAAATTTAAACATTTAAATCAAAATTTAAACATTTAAGTTGTGCCATATAATGCATGAGGAACAGTCTTTAAATTTTGCTGAGATTCATTTTCTTTTGCTCATTGGAAAAGTTTTGTATATATGAGCACAAGATACGTACAATTGCTCATGGCATAGGATCTATAGTGTGATAAAGTTCTCATGGCAAATTGAGGCCACGTCACCTTACCGGCGAAGACACTCGTGCACAGCGGTGATTCTCGAATGCAACCCACACGCCTTACATTGTTCTAACCATGACCGTTTCCCTGGGCCGTCTCCTCAGGCATGTTCCGAAAGGCGTTCCGGCGCTCTGCAGCCGTCCGCAGCATCCTGCGACCGGTGGGCGGCAAACGCGTGGATTCGCCCGAGGTGCAGAGGGTGTGCGGGGTGTGTGTGCTGTACCAGACGGCGCTCACCACACTCACGCAGATCCGCCTCCAGATCCTCACCGGTACGACGATGAAGCTCTCCTGCCATCACGTGCGGTGGCATATTTGACGATTATCAGTAGAGTGTGAGAGGCAGTGCAAACAATTGAGAGTAAAGGCACTAGCATGCAAAGAAATGTGCATGCTTGTGCTTTTAATGTGTTCAACAGGTGGGTAAGAAAACAAGTTAACTCGTACAGGTTTAACATCTAATTCTTAGGATTATCTCCATATATTCGTTTTATTACGATTTCCAACAACCGTTGAAACCATTAATGTATTTGCGTTGTCCTTGCGCCCGGCGTCCCTAGCCCTCTTGCCATGTCACGACCCTCGGACGTACCTCTTCCTTTACACCGAGTGCAAAAGTGCCGTTTATTGCTAATTAAATACTTTCGAGGACAAATATATGGTCAGCATTATGAAGTATGGTCAAATGCATGGTGTTTTTCCTATTTGTGTTATATATGTACAGATGTTACTTGCTTAATACAAAATCCTGTAAATACATGATTTGTGCATTCCTGGACAAAATAACTATTGCAACCACACTGCTACCAAATGCCTTGTTTTTGAATAGGTGAAGTTGATGTGTATTGTAAATTGATATGTTATGTAAGCCGAATTAAGCCACGTTTATATACTGAAATTGTATTGTGCAGGTCTCACCTATCTTGACGATCTTCTGCCCAAGCTGTGGGCCTTCATCTGTGAGCTGGGACCTCAAGGTGGCCTCGCTCTCTTTCTGGAGTGCCTGAGCAGCGACACGGAGGACTCGCGCTGCTTGCTCGCTATGCTCACGCTCTTCTGCGACTGCTCTCGACACCTGATCACGTGCGTGTCTGCCCGTGTTGCTTATAACACTGCTATGCAGAGGACATTTAATACAATAGCCCTTGTTCACAGTGATGGCCTGTAATGCGGCATGTTGGGCTAGAGAGTGACATGGGAACAACGTGTTAAATCTTCCCCATCTCGTCCCATCAGAATGCTTCCAATCTTATTCACTCCAATGAGCTTCACAACAAATGTATTCCTATCCATTCCTGTCAGAAACTTTCATAATCTCATCCCACTTCTTGACCTTGACAAAAAATGTATTCTCTCAACCCATGTCACCCTTTGGTCTTGTCAGCTTGTACGCTTAGATAATTTTTATGCAGGCACCAGCAGAGCGCAGTTGACTTAAATCTGAAACGAAACATTGTGATGAAGATGTAACCAAATGTTAAGGGACAGTGATGTAAAAGTGTAAATCAGGACCTCACAATATTCGTCTTTAACAAAGCATTGCATGAAAATTATAGGCTGATGATTCAGGCAGTAGCCCGCATTCAGAGCACAGAGAGTGGGGGCAGCCAGATGTGATGTTGCAACTTAGTTGGATATCACACTAACGTAGAGCGCTGAGAAAACTGTAAAATGAAAAGTCAATTAATTAATCATCGTATTGTATTCGTATTCAAGTTTATTGTTGAGTACACCTCGTGAGTATATGTTCATTTGTCAACTTTAATGAGCATGTCTCAGCTCCACAGTGTTGTATGTAATCTTCTTGAACTTATGTCTTTCATCCCACCTACCCATGGTCTCTCCTCTCTGATGTCGCGTCCTTGCACAAAACATCAGCCTATCATGATTATGTTATAAGGCAGTGTTGTTCATCAATAATCATTATTTATCACGATTATTAAATCATCATAATCATAATCATAATTTCCTTTACCAAGCACTTTCTGCGGGATCAATTACTATCCTATCTCCTCCCCTGGGTTCAATTTCCATCACATCTCATGAGTCTTGTTAATTACGAATTTCACAGAGCCAATGGGAGTCCGGACTTGATTTGAAGCTTTCGTGACTGCAGGAATTACTCTTTGGTTTTTCGGTAAAGTCACATATAAATAAGAAATAATAAAATAACATAATAGTGTACGACGTTTCGGTTGCAACACAAGCAGCCATCATCAGGTACAGAAGAGCTAAATTTATGAGAGAGGGGAAAGACATAACCTCAGATGTATATACAGACACCCAAGTAGGGGGAACTAACACAGATACATCAGGGGACACAGAGAGAGAAGCATACCAAAGAGACAGGGTTTAGCAAAGTTTGGAAACCATATAAAGCAACACAGACGGTCGGTTAAAAAACAATTAACGCATAGTCCGGTTGATCACGCTATTTCAAAGATTGCTAAATTGCAAGTTAAGTATGAAACTCAAAATACAGACTGCACACACACACACAGACATCCAAGTAGAGCGACCCAGCACAGAGACAAGCACACAGTGAAGTCGGCTTAAATAGGCAGAGAAGGTAAGGCTGAGAGACAATGGGACAAAATTAGCATGAGGTATGCATATGCATACCTCATGCTGGTTTGCTCTACTTGGATGTCTGTGTGTGTGTGTGCGGTCTGTATTTTGAGTTTCATACTTAACTTGCAATTTGGCAATCTTTGAAATAGCGTGATCAACCGGACTATACGTTAATTGTGTTTTGACCGACCGTCTGTGTTGCTTTATATGGTTTCCAAATTTTGCTAAACCCTGTCTGTTTGGTATGCTTCTCTCTCTGTGTCCCCAGTTGTATCTGTGTTAGTTCCCCCTACTTGGGTGTCTGTATATACATCTGAGGTTATGTGTTTCCCCTCTCTCGTAAATTTAGCTCTTCTGTACCTGATGATGGCTGCTTGTGTTGCAACCGAAACGTCGTACGCTATTATGTTATTTTATTATTTCTTATTTATACGTGACTTTACCGAAAAAAACAAAGACCAATGGGAGTCCCTTTTATAGCGTCCCTCTGCTTTTGGAACAGGGGTTGGTTGGGAGAGCAAATATATTTTTTTGAAATGCAAAAACGGGTAAGTTATAAGTTAGCCAGGAGATGGCAGTATAGCAAATTAATTGTGAGCCCATATAAGCCGAACTGAGTGCAACCAGTCTCATGTGTAAAGGCATTATATGGGTGCAGGGCTACGTGGGGGGCTTATATTCTCCCACATCTATCCTCTCCATCTTCACGAATGAAAACTCATCAGCATGATGAAGTATGGTCAAATAACCCCCATGACCCACATGGTGTGTGGATGCCCTCTGCCAGTAGTGAATTGACAATAGATGTACATGTACACATGCATGTTTTTGTTGTTCTTTTTTCAATAGAATATTGGATGACATTGAGCTGTACGAAGAGCAGGTCTCCTTCAAGCTGGAGGAGCTGGTTACCATTTCTTCCTTCCTCAATACCTTTGTTTTCAAGATGATCTGGGATGGCATTCTAGGTGAGGTGGCTTGAACATTTATTACTAGGAAATATGAGTTAATGACCTGCATTACTCAGTGGAGACTCATGTGTAGACATTTGTTTCAAAGTCCAGCACTGTGCACAAATTAAACTGCTGCCCCTTGGAATACAGCCTTTAAAATATTGCTCTGCCATAATCTTTCAAACTGCTTGTTTTATTGTGACCAGGTCAACAAAAAAATTTGTTTGCGCTTAGCTCTATGGCAAGGCTCTTTCACGGGTGGTCCATGAGTCAATTGTAGCCCACAAAAGTTATTGGAGTGGCCTTATGCTCGCCAAGACAAAGACAAAGATTTTGAGTTGAGTGATAAACAACAGATGGAGATGCGAGTGCTGTAGATAGTAGAAATTAGTGGGATGAAAGTAAAAAAAAACAGAGAAACTGGTGACTATCGATGTGTCCGGAATATGTGTGGTGGATCTCTGGTTGTGTGGTGAATGCTGTGGATGTGCGGTGAATGCTGTGGTTGTGTGGTGGCTGTGTGGGCACCACAGAGAGTGAGAAGACCGACCGCTCGCAGCTATTCGCCTCGGTGCACAGCTGGCTCATGACGCTGTACGAGCGAGACTGCAGGAGGAGGTTTGCGCCTGAGGACCACTGGCTTAAAAAGTACGATCACACGTGCAACACAATGCAGAGCACTGCTGAATGCTCTAGCATCATTGGTCTGGGCTTCGGTGCAAAGAATGAAAGGGGGGCCTATGTCCAATTTCTGCCCCACTCTTCATAGCCCAACACTGGGGCCCCTCTGGCCCACGGGCTCCTGTGCAGTTGCACTGCATGCACACACACTTGATAACTACATCATTGACACTGCCAAACTCTCAGCACCAGCTTATCCACATGACTATGGAAAATACAATTAAAAACATCACAATTTTTTTAAATTCATGTGCAACCAACTTTAATTTAAAAAAAAATACTCTTATTGAGACAATCTTGAGAATAGGTTTTCCCCTTTTTTTAGCCTAGTCTCAAGCTGTCTCTGGTGTGGACCAATCAGTTTCAAAGACAATGCATATATGATCAGAGTACGTTTTTTTTGCATTCTGATCACAAGTATTGTGGTTAATGCAGACATGATTCCTTGTAAAAGGTTTCAGTTTGGTGTTTTAACATCTTAACACCTGTTTTGTTGCCAGAAAAAATGGGAAAACCTATTCTCATATTTTGGTACTGGCAAAGGAGGTACCATGATGAGACAATCTTGTTTCATTTTCGCTTTCATCCAAACAACACATTTTTATGCCAACGGTTTTGCTTTCACATGTACCTACTGTATTGAGTGGGCAATTTCAGAAGCCGGTGGTTATGCTAGGTGCTGCTTTAAAAAGATATGAGTTCAGATCAGCACAAGAGTCAAAGGTGGAATTCAAGAGTGGGTTCCTTTTGCTCTCTTACCACTCACCCCACTGCCCCTATTTTCAGTTTCACCTATAATGTACCCCTGCATTGTGTGAGCATGCTTAATCGCTGACAGATTGCTGTGTAATCTTCCTCTTGAAACTGCAGGGACCTGAAGGCAAATGTCCTGTTCTCTGAGCTCGAGAAGGGAAAGAAGAGAGCCAAACTGCTTCTCCAGCACATCCCACATGTTCTTCCACACAAGGATGTGAGGATACATTGATCATTATATTTTCCATTTGTATTACTTTTTGCAGAAATAATAATTTACAATGCTCATTATATGTATGTATGTTACACTTATTTTGTACCGTATATAGCCAATCGTGCTAATCGGAGATGCGGGGGAAGGACAACAAACTTAACACAAAATGCAATTCTGAAGAAATGAGTTTTCAATCTAGATTTAAATTTGCATAGCTCCAGTGGTTTCCTAATATTGGAGGGTAGAGTGTTCCAGACAGCTGCAGAAGCGCATCTGAAAGCGCTAGTCAAAAGCCGCTCCGAGAGTGACCAGAGTTTGCGTGATGCTTTATGCTCCTTGACAAGATCAGCAAGGTATTGTGCTTCATTTGTGGCAAGCACTTTGTGTGTAATGAGTGCAATCTTATAATGTATTTGCTTGGCAATCGGAAGCGAACTCAGCTCGTCGAACACTGGACGGACACTGCTGTTAACTGTAGGCAGGACTCGGAACAGGTTGCCAGGTGCAAAGCGTAGTGTGCTAATCACTATACCACCGCTCCCCTCACTATATGTATAGTGCATTGAAATAAACTCAAGTAGTGTTCCATGTGTACCGAATGCAGGAGGAAATAACACGCACGTATGTGTTCACAGCGAGTTGTGCTCTTCCGGAGCATGGTGGCCAAGGAGAAGTCCAGCCTGGTGACAGGCAATCAGATCGTGTCCCTAATGGATTTGAATCACGGTGCGCCAATCACGCACATCACCGTTCGCCGCTCACGAATGCTGGAGGTATGAGGCGCTGGGATTGGCCAAGAGTCTGCTCACCTTTTTGATTGGTTACCACACGAGCTGGTGGTGCCAGCTGTAAAAGCCCTTTTGTCAAACCATTGCTCTGTGGGAAATAGCTCCTTGACGACTATTGCCACCGTAATCTGGAACTCTCTCCACCTGGTAATACATGCTACCATCTCCCAGCCCCTATTCAAATCCAGGTTTCAGACACGATAAATCCAAATCGTATTTTTCTTTTCACTATCAGAACAATAATAATGTTTAGTTTCATATTTTGGCGTCCATGCTACTTGCATCTCAGAATCACTAATGAAACACAGACAAGCGGGAATATAGCCAGGTGGTGAGTCGGCACCACCAATTTCCCAATATCTGCGGTCCCCTATAGATTAACATTTTTTCAGCCAATTAATGAGTCTTTATGCACGTGGGAAGAAACCAGAGCACCCAGAGAAGCCCATTGGGTATGACTCTCTTTTGCATATGATTCTTCTATAAAAAAACGATAATAAAACAATGTACAACTGTACATAACTATATTAACATTAATGTTATGCCTCCTTTTTCACTCATGATGCATGTCCCACTATTTTATACATGATGTTGTTAGGTATTGTATGAATCCAAACCGTATTGTGGTTGTGGGAGAAAATGTATCAAGCACCTTGAGACATTAGTGGAAGGCGCCTTACAAATAAATGTCAATGATTATTATTATTAACTGTCACTTTGCATGTGCCTGCAGGATGGCTACGAACAGCTTAGCCGGTTGCCCCCAAACTCGCTGAAAGGGACTATCCGGGTGAAGTTCATTAACGACCTTGGCATGGATGAGGCCGGCATTGATCAGGACGGTGTTTTTAAAGAATTCCTGGAGGAGATAATCAAGAAGGTGTTTGACCCTGAACTCAACCTCTTCAAGGTGAGACCAGAATCAGACATACAAATGGAGGAGCTTGTAATGCTGTTTATATAGTTTTTTGTTTGTTATACAAATATATAAAGTAATATGAAAGAAAGGTAAAAAAAAACACCAGTTAAACCATCAAAAATCACAAAATGCACAATTCAGGGCTACAGTAGTTGGCATACTAAGTTGGACTGTGGCCGCAGTGAACAGTAAGTCAGCATTGCTTTGTGCGCTGTTCACGTTTTAAGCTTGGGGAGTGCGAACTTCATTTTCTTACAAATTTTTGTACATTTATAGGATTCCCGAAATAGCTATTGTATGCAGGCAGGGTATATTCGTCCATGTTATAATAAGAACACACTGCACATTGTCTGGGGTCATCCCAGTGATTTGAGTCCAATTACAAATAATGAAACTTGACATAATCTCTTCGCATTGCACGTGTAATCCTATGATGTCTAAAAACTCCCGCGTGCTCCGTGTCTCCAGATCACTATTGGGGATGAGCGTCTCTACCCCTCGCCCACATCCTATGTCCATGAGAACCACCTCCAACTCATGGAGTTTGTCGGCAAAATGCTGGGAAAGGCCGTCTATGAGGTTTGCCTGCAGGACACAAGAGTCACTTGTGACACATTGTCCATATAGTGTGAGATTGAAATAATTGTTAAAAAATATTGTCATTGCAAAAATACCCACTTCACAGACTCATTGCAGAGTGGTGTGAACGATGGTTTTGGCTTAAGGATATGACCTCCAATTTCATATAAATTTGCGACTAAGTTTTTCCTCGAAATATCTTTAGTCTGAATGGGCTCTCATCTGGTTTAAAGACTATTTACTACTACTACTTATAAGGTTAGATTTTATTTGTCGTCCAAGTTGTATCCATTATTAATAAACACTCATGTGTGCAAACTGGACTATTATTTAAAAATAATCAAATGAATTACCAATTACCGTGACACTCACAAATTTCAGAGCTACGAACTTCAACATCAACTAGGTGATAGCATTAGGTTCAAACATAGCATAATAAAGAATTACATTTTGTAACAATGGTCGTGCATCTTATTGACTCGCCATTAATGTGTACTTTCCTGTTGTGCAGGGCATTGTAGTGGATGTACCGTTTGCGCCGTTCTTCCTGAGTCAGGTGCGCGGAGTGCACACATCCATGCCCTACAGCTCCATCGATGAGCTGCCCTCCCTTGATGCTGAGTTCTACAAGAACCTCACCTCCATCAAGGTAGCCTTTGACAGGCCCTGATTTACTGCCACCTCTTCCCACCACTGACATTTTTACTTCCTGAAAGCAGGATTCCAAGATTGGTTATGGTTGGGTTGAAAAGGGAGTGATTCATGATTCTTTTTTACCACCATTGGATTATAGCTGCGGTTTGTAACATCACAGTGCTTCGTGGATTAGTGTGATACACGTGGAAAAACTTAAAAAGATTGAAATCTTGATTTTCCTTTTCTCACTATTTCACATGAAGAAACACGAAACCAGACATCTGAAAGAGGACCTGTACAACATGTGGAGGCGAATTAAATATCGTTTTTTTAAGGACAGAATTGTACTTGTATCATGTAAATGAAGTGCAGTAAATTACTGCTGTGTTATGCATGGTATCAGGAGAAGTAATCGATGCTTAAAATGTTCTCCGTTGCAGAGGTATGATGGAGATGTGAGCGAGTTGGGACTGACGTTTTCGTACGAAGAGGATATCATGGGAAAAGTAATCATTGATTTTCACATTTCATTCATTAAATCACCCAGTGGAGCCGTTTATGTATTTGAAACACCTTCGTGATTTTAGTTAAATTATATATTACAAATTTATTCTTTGGTTAATTTTTAAATGGGTTAATTGTTTATTGTATTGGTGTCCCATGTGGTTATGCAGATAACATATTAAGGAGTCTACGTATACTCACCAGTGTATTTTTTTCTTTCTGCCCAGCTTGTGTGCTATGAACTTTGCCCTGGTGGAAAGACAACCCTTGTAACAAACGAAAACAAGTATGTTTGAACTTTCACCCCTTTCCATACAAGTATCCTTTTCCATTAGTCTTGCAAACTTTATTATCTTTGCTGATTGAAAACCCCTTTGTGTTTAGAGAATACACTTTTGTGTAATCACCATGTCCTTGTGACGACTTAGCAATGTATTATTGTCTGGGTGGTCAGTAGCAATGTTCCGATAGAAATTCGAGGAATTTCGTTTTCCGGGAGGATTATATGTTTCCTTGGTGTGAACCGGGTACTGACAGGTGGCAAGACGTGAACGCTGATCCATCGCCACAATCGGCATCACACCGGTTCCTTATCACAGATCCTACAGTCTGTCCACCTAGCCCCAACCTGACATGCTGTCAGTGGCCCTTGCTGAACAGGTTACGGACAGGGCAAGGTCTCTGTGCGACCAGCCTCCACCGTTGGGGTCTTGATGATAATTAATGCACACTGCAGCTGTGGTACTATATACAGAACTCGCCTGTTGCCCGTCCAAGGACGGGTGTATTTCAGTAAATCTGAAACTTGCAAGCGAAAGGCAGATGGCGACGTGATATTCATTGCATCAATGCGTGTGCAATTTGTAAGGGCGCGGTGACACAGACTTATTTCATTTAAAGGTTATAATCCCTTGTTCATCATGACGTACGTTTTACTTCTTTGTCTCAATAGTGTTACAGAGATCACGTGACGTGAGGGTTCTGCCTTTGTAGTGAGGGTTGTGAGTTGACGCTGAGCAGGGGGGAGCAGGCTCCTCGCCCCCCCCATGTGGAGTGACGTCAGCTGCTAATTAATATTAATGGAGGGGGGGGGGGGTGCTACATGTGGAGTGACGTCACCTGCTCGTGATTATTAATGAGGGGGGGGTGGGGTCCATGTGGAGGACGTCACCTGTTCATGAGTATTAATGAGGGGGGCTGGCCAACCTGGAGTGATGTCACGAACTGGACACACAGACATTCTTGGCTCATTATAGTAGTAAATGGCGCGTATTATCGATGACTGTTCACTAAGTTCAGCGGAGGTTTACGAGAACTGCACATTGCCACCGGGAGTACTATCGCATAGCTCGGCGATTACGCACATGCTGAATGAATGCATTATTACAATTTATTCAGTGATGTTGAATTGGCAGTGGTGCAAAGGCATAATGAACATAAAAAAACTCAACATATTAATCAATAATACTGTGCCCTTAAAATAAAAAAATATATATTAGGTGACATTTCTCACAATGGCCCTTCGTAGTACATTAATGTTATTAACCCTTTCCCGTTCCAATGATCGATTCTGTCATCGGAACGGATTCGGAAGTAAAAGGCCGTGCGGGAGGGCATGTGGCACAGTTTGGTGCCAGATATCATAGAGTGTGGTCGTGTCGCTACAGTTCTCTGTGGTGAGTACAGCACAATGTTTTTAGAAACAGCAGCATTATGTCTCTGTAAATAAAATTAACGTTCACCGCTTTTTGCGTTCGGCGATTCAGTGGTGAACAGGACCCACCCTGCAACTTGCAGATGTCTCAGAATGGGAAAGGGTTATTGGTGCTATATATGTGCTATTCGAAGGGTCATTGCCCAAAACGTCGCCGAAAATATATTTTTCTTTCATGGCAATGTTATTGACGAATGTTAGGTTTTCTTTGTACACACTTAACTGTATTCTCAATAAAATGTAAAAATGGTTTCCTATCACAATTACTAAATGTTAAACAGTGTGTCTTCTATATGTCATCACACAATTTTCAGTAGCATCCAGAACACATGCTTCTTTAACTGCAGCATTTTTAACAGCATCTCCAGTACCTCAAATGAGACTATCTACTGTACTTCTGAACTGGGCTTGGAGGGAGCCTAGTGCAGTCGGTTAATCCCATTAATCAAATGCTTTGGAGATAAGGTTTGGTTGAATTGCACATTTCTGAAAGTCCAAAACTCAATAAGTTGTAATGGGGCCAGTTGGCAGTTAAGCAAGTTAGTTTATGAATGACAGCTGTGTGCGCAGACCCTTTGAGTCCTATCCCCTTGCATGTGTGTTTTTTTTCTCCAGGTATTCCAGCTCCCTACCACATGCAAAACGCTGCCTTAAAATGGAATTGGCCAATTCTCCAAAACATAGGACCTTCATTGAGGCTTTCCTGAATAAACAAATGACAATATAAATAACGTAATTTCTGCGTAATGTAGTGTCATGATAAATTGCAGCAAGGACCGCGCCATGAAGCAAAACTTGTTTTTACACATACTCTTTGTTTCTTTCGGTAAAGCCACGTAGGTATAAAATAAATCGCGACTGTCTGCCTCAGCAGCAGACCACGCTTTCCCACCTGATGATGGACGCTTGTGTTGCGCCTGAAACGTCGTGATTTATTTTATTTTATTTTCTACCTACGTGACTTTACCGAAAGAACCAAAGAGTGTGGATCCCTGCAGTCACGAAAGCTTCAAATCAAGATTGTTTTTACACCTTCACAGTGTGCTACAATATTTGAGTAAAGAAAAGCGTTTTTGAAAGCTCTTGAGAGTTTTATTTATTGCCGTGCCTTTAGGATCAGCTACATCCACATGTTGGCTCATCACCGCATGTACGTGAAGATCAAGAAGCAGACAGGAGCGTTCATTCACGGATTCAAGTCCCTCATCAGCCCAGAGTGGATGGGCATGTTTTCCACACCCGAGATGCAGCGTCTCATCGCCGGTGACACGGGCGAGATCGACTTTGAGGACCTACGGTGCCTAAACACACAGACGCCATCGCATGTGGCGCATTCTCGCTCGTCAGATTCCAATTCTGCAACAAGTCAAGTTTTTTTTGTGAATGTATCAATACTAAGCATGTCACAAGTCACATCTACTCCACCATGGTTTTATCACTTTTCATGATTTGGGGTCATGGTTTGATTAGGTTATCAATTATTTTGAATCTTGTTTGTGCCATCTCGTTTATATCGTCCCAACTAATTGTTCTGTCTTATTCGTTCCATCGGTCTATAGGTATAATTTGCATGTCATTTGTATAAAATGTACATAAATTGCAAATCATCAGTTCACAATTAAATGCATGTATCATTAGTTTATCAATATTCATCTAGGCATGTGAATATTTTTTTAAATACACATTTACTGGACTGAATGGAGGCAGCATTTTCAGCCTTGCTCAGGAGTATATATCCATCAGTACAGGTCTGACAGTTGTATGGCTACCCTGTAACCAATCTTATACACGAGCTATGTAGTAAGTCTCAACACTTGTTATCGCACACTCTTATGAGTCCAGTCCATCAAGAATGCGTGATGATCTTTTAGATCACTCGGGCAAATACATTGTCAGTATAATATAAATTCTAGATTTAAAGCTTTCGTGACTGCAAGGATCCATACTCTTTGGTTCTATTGGGTAAAGTCACGTAGGTAAAAAATAAAATAACAAAAATCACGATGTTTCGGCCACAACACAAGCGACCTTCATCAGGTGAAGGGACGAGACTGTCTGGAGGACAGCGCTGTCCTCCAGACAGTCTTGTCCCCAGCGCTGTCCTCCAGACAGTCTTGTCCCTTCACCTGATGAAGGCCGCTTGTGTTGTGGCCGAAACGTCGTGACTTTTGTTATTTTATTTTTTACCTACGTGACTTTACCCAATAGGACCAAAGAGTATAATAGAAATTTAGGCAGATTTGAGAGGAGAGTGAAAAGTAGCACAGAACCAAAATTTACTTCACACAAACACACTTTATAACTGTGCAGCACCTCTCTATGCACACATGTTTATGCTCATTGCTGTAATTGTTGCTGTTTTGTTTGCTCCAGGAAACACACAGTCTATTATGGGGGCTTCCATAACAACCACCGTGTGATCATATGGCTGTGGGACATTCTCACTAAAGAGTTCACAGCCCAGGAGAGAGCAATGTTTCTCAAGGTCAGTATCGTTGCCCTACAAGTATCCTGCATAGCTTTGTCCCCTCTCTCATTAGCAGTTGGCATTCTCCTCTGCCCTTCAATTCCCTTCTCGTATCCATTGGTGCTTCGCCAGATGAACCAAATATAGCCAGCACTTATTTAGGTTTGTCATAACTATCATTTTGCCTCTCATGTTTTATATTCTCTTAATGAGCTAACAGTGAAAAGTAGTTGGACTAATAAAAAGAATGAATAAATCTTTGCTTTTTTTATTTGTATATATCTTTTAAATAAAAGTTAAGTGATTAAAATACATTGTAATCTGTATTATCCTTTACAGTTTGTGACTAGCTGTTCCAGGCCTCCCTTATTGGGGTTTGCACATCTCAAGCCATCTTTCTCCATCAGATGTGTGGAGGTCGCTGATGACCAGGTGAGAAGGGTGCATTTCACAATGCTTTTACACCTGCAGAGTGAGCGTTCTGCACTCCTCTATATGCTCACAGAGCCAACCCTATATTTAGTTGTTGTCTCTGAATAAATGTCCCTTATGCTAACAGGCATTACGTGAAATGTTATGATGAAAAATACCACTATTCTGGGGTTATCATTGAGTCAGCATTTATAATCTACTAGGCCTCCTCAAGTTACAGCCTGCGTTCCAATGATATTTGCTCGCATTTTAAGGTGGTAGCTGGTTTAGCAATGTCTATTTGTAAAATGTATTCTGATTACTGTGCTACATTCTGGATAGGGGCCAATGTAGCAAATCCATTGTTGTACTGTACCATTATTCTCACTCGTCTATGGTCCCCACCTTCAACCCACACTGACCAGTGTGGTGAAATCTGGTTAAATAACCCCCATGATCCATATGATGTGGGAAGACCCTCACTTATCCAGCAGTGCAGCGGCAAACTGGCTGTTAATGTACTAGACATGTAAGTTTAAATTACTGCACGTTCATTTTGCTAATTATTAAGCCCACAACATTATCCGGATTAAATTAATGGATTGTATGATTGATTGGCGAAGCTGCATTGTAATTAGTAACACTACCCATCGGTTTACTTTATAAAAAAAGTGACCGCTTGTCGCGAATCTTCCGGCAGGACACAGGCGACACCCTGGGCAGCGTGCTGCGGGGGTTTTTCACGATCCGGAAGAAGGAGCCGGCCGGCCGTCTCCCCACTTCCTCCACCTGCTTCAACCTGCTCAAGCTGCCCAACTACAGCAAGAAGAGCGTCCTGCGAGACAAGCTACGCTACGCTGTCAGCATGAATACGGGATTCGAGCTCTCGTGATGTGTCCGTGCCACGCGGCACCTGCGCGATGGCCGGCAAAGAAAAAAGCTCGTCATCGTTGGGAGGGTGAGGGAGGGAGGGAGGGAGGTAAGGGAGGAAGGTGATACTGCGCACCTCCATTTACAGCGTAACCTGAGCCAACGGCCGTTATCCCAGCTGTACGCAAGACCGTAAAGGTAGGTGTCGCTCGCAAGGACGAGTGGCGAGGTGGTCATGAATTTTCGGCAAGTAATGTTTGTATTTAAGATACGCTTCTTGCACTTGACGGCCTTCACCTACCTGTAGACCTACCTGTGGTACACTTTAAACACCTCAGAATCGACGAACGTACACTTTGTCTACAAGTGTAGAGAACATACACATCGTCTACAAGCGTAGAGAACAAACCAATTTTGTTCGAGTCTTCTTGTTTCACAGGCGATGACGTTCTGTCATCATGTCGAGATCATCCGTGGGTGGTGCACAATCCCCCTAAGTATGCATAACGTGTTTTGAAACTTGCAACTCATGGCTGGTTATGCCACTGTTGGGACGTGAATGTGGTTTTTGCTGCCTCTTGTCCCCATCTACAAGAGTTTCCCAACCTTGTGCCCCTTGAACGTCCCAAAAAATGAGGCCCTGCTCTGACGCCTCACACGTTCCACGATGTTCTCTGTTTGAAAGGAGCTGGTCTCGGAAACCTCGTTTTAAAGTTGTACACTTGGGTACACTCCACAATAAACTGCCCTCATGCCACAGTGTTGGTGCAGGCTGACTTTGTTGATCACAGTCAACTAATGAGAATGTATCATTTTTATGTTGCGTGCACTCGGCAATATCAATTGAAAACCTTAAATTCTTGTGCAACAACACAGTTGTCAAATTTAATAAACTAATGGGCTATGATATAATATAAACGTAACTCGTGTAAATAGAAGCGATGCTGACATTTTTATTTCTTTGGTTCTGCTGTTTTATGTACATGAATCTGCGTTTCTATGTTAACTCCCTATTACGGTGTAGTCTTCCATGTGTTTACAGAACTACTATAACTGGCATGCAGTCTTAATCGGCAAGTTTTACATTCTAAAACTATATACAAATTAATTTACCCTGTGAATGAAAAAGATGGGACGATTTTATTTGGTTTAATTTTAAATTAAAGCACTACACTTATACCATACATTTATACTGCTGACACAATCTTCTTTGTGTGTGAGATATATTTCCTCCTTTGTATCGCTTGGTATAAGCAATCATCCTCAATTTAGTCCCAAATGCACTTCTTTAAAATACCGTGTGCCTTCAAAAAGGTACCTGGCAGGACTCGCCTGTAACAGTCCACTTGGCCTGCCCTGTACACAATACAAAAACACCTAAAGGTATTCTCAATTATGTATGTATTTTGAACTTCTTTCGCACCGTACGTAGCCAACCGTGCTAATCGAAGGCAGTCACTCGAGTGAACATTACCCTACTGTAAAGAACACGTTTTTCTGGCTTTCACTTGCATTTCGTATTCCTGCCCTGGTCCTAAAAGTATTGCGTTTTGTCAGATTAACTCCACGCGTTTACCCTACGTACGTACTTTATAAAAACAAAATCGTAGGTGTTCATGTCGTTTGTCCAGTTTTAAATTTCTGATCGTGTGCAGATCTCGCGGTTATTGTACAGCTGCGGAATATAACTGTATGAGCACGGGTCAGTTAAGCTGTTAAACCACACTGTTCCCACAGCAAACGAACTAGTGGTCTTGTCTTTTCAGAATAAATGTGAATAAAGTATTGTAATTTAATCCTATTTGTTTCGTGGACACTTACTTACAACTTGCATGTTCTGCCTACTGTGTATAGATTGCATATGGTTGCACATTACATGTAGCCATGGAAAACCCGACACCATAACACGTACACCAAACTCAAACTGGAATATACCGCATTCCCTGCGTACCTAGCCACGCTCGTCTTGTTGTGATTTCCAGTGACATTTGCTCCTGCTTTGGCGTAAAAAAGACACATTCCAAACAACGGTGTAGAATTTAATTTAGAGATTAACCGTATGGCACACCTGTTGTGTGAATTCATGTATTTGTTTGTGGCCAGTCAAATGTGTTCGTACAACAAAACGTTTGCAAAGATGGCATTGTGCTTGATCACACATCACGTGAAAATACTGGTCCCGTTAGTAATTAAAATGCTTTCATTCACACGAGTGCTGAATGATTAGAAAGGTGTTAAGGTGAGCATAGGTAACTTTGAGAAAGGTGTTCTGTTGCCATATTGCCAAATGTATTATTTTTGCAATCCAAAAATATCTAAATTAATTGTATAAACACTTTGCATATTTAGATAGTGGAAATCCATAACTACTGGATGTTATGTATCCTGCCAATTCAATTATAAGAAACTAAAATTGTTAAAACTTTGCTGAAAAACTCAAGTGGCATGTTTGCCCACGTGACAACTTGATTAGATTGGCCCTGTCGGGTGGTGGAGGGTTCGAGTTAAAGAAAAAAATGACACGATTTAGCCAAAAAAAGAATTTATGAATCTGCATGTTTTTTTTTCTCTAAATCAGCTATCTCTTCATCATTATACAAAGTTACATTTTTCTGTATTTTTTCCTTGCGGCCACCGGGGATCTTAACTGCTTAAAGAACACTTACAGAACTGGTCTCAGTGTTGACAGACTGGTTTTATGGTTTGATAACCCAACAGCTCAAGTCTCTCCACGACAAAAAATTACAGTGTAGTAGTTCCAATAAAATAATGTACACTACAACCTTCATCAATCCGCTGCTAAATGAAGACGTCTATACGCTTCGTCAGTCAGTCAAAGTTACTCGGCGAGAAACTAAAATAAACCCTGGCTGGGCTCAAGTCACGAAAACACCCTCGCTACACAGCCCTTCCATTGCTGGCAGCACGCTTTTGCTGCCACACTTTGCTACGTGTGAATTGCTCGGTCGCAAGCGTTCGCGATGGGAAGCCCCGATTAGCCCCCCCCCCCCCCCCACCATGCATGCGCTATCGCGATGTGCGGCGGTAGCGCCTGCCCTGTGGCGCTTTTTTTTCTGCCCCCTCCGCGTATGCATTAATTCATGAATAATAATCATTGCACAGCTGCCGGAGGCGGGCGCGCATTTGCGCGTCCCCGCCCTGTGGACGCGCGTTTCGGAGCGCGAGCCGAGCCGAGCTTTGAGCCGAGCACGCGGACAGGTCCCAAGTTTGGGTTTGGTCGCTCGGCTCGGCTCGCTCGGGTCAGTCGCTGATGTTGCGCAACCTAGCCGTGGTGGCCTAAGGATGACCGTGCTGCTGCATCTGTGCGTGAGCTTCGCCTTAACCCTGCGCACCTACGAAGGTAAAAGGTGGCAACGGCCAGGTGAACGGTTAAATGGTACACAGACCCCGTCGTTACGCGTTACCGTGAAAGATCGTCGGTTAAAACAACATGTACTGTGTAATGGAGTGCTCTTGCAACAACAAACAAAAAGACATCTTATAATATAATCAGGCAGCTTTTGTTCCAACAAGCCTGGCTCTGCTGGTGAAACCCAGAGGGGTCGAAACCGGTCCCGGATGATCGTTTGCTGCAACAAATGCTGCTTTGGTAATATTGCTTCGGAAAGCCAATAGGATGATGGACATGTATGGACTGTATGTTGAACTTCTTTCGCACCGTACTAATCGCGTATGTGAGAATACTCCGCTGTGGACTTCACAACATTCTACAAACATGCAGATTAACAGTAATTGTCAAATCATACAGCAGCTCCACGTACGGTATTTGTTATTGTGCTTGGACAGAAATACAGGCTGATACATTTCGGGATACCTCACGAATTTCTAATGACCCTCTTATTTCCCAACAGCCGGTTAAATATTGTGAGAGTGATGGCTCCATATCTTACAGAGGAGAGTGTTCAAATGTTAATCTCACGTGTATTAGTTGAGATTGGTGGAAGCCATGTTAGAGGCTCTTTAAATGAAATGTTTAATCACATATACAATGTCGCTGTTATTTTAGTGGGGTGCCTATAAACGGATCACTTGATAGATGGATCTCACCAATGACCCCATTGTGACAACATAAGCGGGCCTGACTGCTTGATGAGAACCTTGCGAGGGTAAAATGTAGTCAAAATATGAGAATAGGTTTTCCCCTTTTTTATGGCAACAAAACATGTTGAGATCAGGGACGTGCGGTCAGAGGAGGCAGGGGAGGCTTGAGCCTCACCTGTCATACTCCAATGAAAATAGCTGTTACGAAAAGTAAAAAAAAATGAATAATCAAATAAAATAAATATTAAGATTTTTCCACTGATCTGTGTTATAAATGTCATTTCTGTACGATACCAATCATTTTTATAGTCAAAATAGCCAAATTTGCGGAGCTCCGCTGCAAATACAGAACGAGACGAGAGGTGAGGCAGCGACGAGCTCAGCCTCCCCTCTGATTGCGCAACCCCTCAGTAACTGGATGGAGCGCGGGCAATAAGCGCGTGCCTGTTTCTATCTCAGTATGCCACCAATGTAATGTTTGTAGACCCCTTCATTTCATGTCCTCGCCTTCCATACTCCAGGTAACTTATTTCACGTATGTGTATAAAGCTATTCTTTGGTGCTTTCGGTAAAGTCACGTAGGTATAAAATAAAATAAATCACGACGTTTCGGGCGCAACACAAGCGTCCATCATCAAATGGGAAAGCGTGGTCTGCTGCTGAGGCAGAGTGTTTTAAAAGGTTTGAAATGGGTGTAGCTCAAGGGTCATAGAGAAGTGGCCGCTGGTCTCGTCATGAAACTGCAATGAAAAAGCAGCAGGGGAGGCAGCTATCACATCTGCCTCACTGAGGCCACGCCCCCCTCAGTGAGGCCACGCCCCCCCCCCCTCAGTGTGTGAATCTGGCTCTGACACTAGCCAGTGCCTCCTCCCCAGCCATTGACCTCACCGCACGTCACTTGTTGAGATGTTAAAACACCAAACTGAAACCTTTTACAAGGAATCACGTCTGCATTAACCACAATACTTGTCAGAATGCAATAAAAAAACAGACTCTGATAGTATATGCATTGTCTTTGAAACTGATTGGTCTACACCAGAGGCCTTTTGGCGTCCTCTGGTCTAACACCGTTTGGGACTAGGCTCAAAAGAAAGCCGTCTCTGGTGTGGACCAATCAGTTTCAAAGACAATGCATATATTATCAGAGTTATGTTTTTTGTTTGCATTCTGACCACAAGTAATACGGTTAATGCAGACACGATTCCTTGTAAAAGGTTTCAGTTTGGTGTTTTAACATCTCAACACCTGTTTTGTTGCCAGAAAAAAGGGGAAAAACCTTCTTATATTTTGGTACTGCTGAAGAAAATGATACGAGGCAACATTAGTCCACAACGTAATTTAATAAAACTAGAACGTCGTTATCACGTGGAAAGATTTGCATGTAATTGATAACTATGTTGTCCTGTAAATGTGATTGTTTTCCCATCCTCTTAATAATATTGTACATGCGGTGGAGTAGTGGCGCAGCGGTTAGCGCTCAGCGCCACGAACCCGGCCATCTCAGTTCGATTCTCGGCGATGGCTTTGATGACCAACACGAGTGTCAAATTACAGTCACAAGACCCCTTAAAAGACTGACACGGCGTGGGAAGGCCTCCATCCAGCAGTGGGTCAATATATGTACTGTATATTTGTTTGAACTGAGGTAGATAGTTCAAAGGATACCTGAGGCACGTTCGGTCGCAGGCAGTATCCGTTTACAATGTGAAGGCACGTATGCAGTGGAGTACAACATACTAAGGCGTGGACGCTATGAGCGCCTGTGAATGTGTAATGTTTATTGTTAGGTATGAAATGCACCCGGCACACCACATTCACAATGCGTGTCTCTCTGTTCAGTGTGGCTGTGGCTACTCAACACGTACGACGTACTTTTCTAGTGTTTATATTAATCGCTGTATAGACTCACAATAAGACGAAGACAATTGCGACTTTAACCAAAAAAGGGTAACCGTAGTAACCCTGAGTGCTTATGCAGAAGACTGCCACGATACCCTGAACACCGTAGGACTTTTCTCAAATTGCAGCTATACGTTAATGTAGCGTTGTAATTTAATATTCCGGTAAAATACTGCACTGCAATGCTGCTGTATTACCAGACACTTTCATAATAAATTACGGCCGTTTGGCAACCTACTGCTGAATGAGGGCCTCTCCACGCCGTGCCGGTCATAGGGGATGTTTAACCATACTTCACCGCCCTGGTCAGTGCGGGTTGGTGAAGGCGGGGACCATTGAAGTACTGTACGACACAACATTATATTTTTGCAGTACCTCCTCTCTTCTACTGCCTACCAAGTAGCCCTGAAAGCCCTATGATAAAGCTGTTTTTTTTTGCATGCGATTACCCATCCAAACGCATTAACCAGGCTCAACGCTGCTTAGCTTCCGATATTTGACTAGTTCGGGTGCATTCCGGGTCATTTGGTCATAAGGCGTGGGTCGACAAGGAACACTGCAATATATTATTTGACAGTGGTGGTTATTACTCCAGGGAAATTGGCCACTCACAGAAGGGGAACACGCTATTAATATACTCGCGGCCAAGTCGTCGTTACCGCGGGTAACCCATAGGGATAACCTGGGCACATACACGCGGTCTCCTCCCCCAGGGAACAGGCAGCCCCGGGTTTGCTCTGCCGAGGTGCAAGCACCACGGGGAGGAGACGAAGCTGGCAACGAGACTGATGTCCTCATCCACAGTAAGAGGACGCCTATACCCCCCCCACCACCACCCAACTCACCACTGCACACACTCCCCGCTGTTGCAACATCTGCGATGGAGCGCCCATGAGTTCCGACCTCACTGTTCTTTGACAGAGTAATTTCAACCTGAAATCGCGCACGGTATTCACTCACACTCCGAGCGAGATAGAGAGCGTCTCAAGAGCGGCGAGGAACCACGAACGAGCAGGATTGCAGTCACGTGAACTGGCGCTAAAAAATGCCCCAAGCTCTGCGGTCCTCGATATTACAGGGTGCTTAAAATAAAAAAAAACAATTCTGAGAATTTGCAACAATACGGGGGCTCTGGAGACCACCTGGAGAAGATTCCAGGCCACGTGTTGAGAATGATGGTGAACAAGTGGAGACTCTTTGACTTTTTGAAGCTATTAACATACATTTGTCATCATTTTAAAGTGTATTATCCGTTCTCTTTACATTAAAAACTATAGTCTCATATAATTGTTTATATATTTTTTAAGCACCCTGGACATACGAAGATGTTCTTGGCCAATTAATGTGTTTACATGTGGGAGGAGACCGGGAAAACACTATTCCGTAAATACGGAACAGGTGGACTTGACATTTTTTTGCTGTACTGCAATCTCCTGGCGAACTAGCATAGATCACCTTGACGCCTACGGGAAGTGAGTTTTACAGCCCATCTGTGCGGTGATCCACCAACCCCAGCTGCTGCCTCCACAGTGCTGCACTGCAGGCGTGCACAGCCACCACCGCTCGGAAACACAATTCAATCTAAAGCAGCCGGGTTTATTGATGATCCAACGCCCGTGTAGGACATGGGCCTTTGTATTCTTCGCCCAGCAGTGGATCGACATAGGGCTATTAATTTAATTTATTTAATTGCAATGAATTAATTATTACTGCACACGCAGATATAAATTATTAAAAAGGGCCCAACTTGCAGTGATTATTCAGACAGCATTAATTGGAAAACCACGGCACTTGTAACCTCTATCCGAATCAAAGAATGCGATCGCGCGAACCGAGATAATTTCCCACAGCGTTTCCACCACGCGTGCGACAACTAAAAAAAAAGCCCTTCTTGCGGCCGTCACACGGCTGTTTTTTTACACGCTGACCGTTCGGGTCGGTCGCCAGAAGCAAAAGAAATAAATTAAATGGACACTCACTTCAACAATATCCACAACGAACGGGAGCCGTATCCATTTCAGGGCGGCTCAGCAAAACAAAACAAAACCACCGCCCACTCTGGACTCATGGCGTGACCAGGTGACCGCCGCTGTTGTAGACATTCAGCGGCGGAGCCAGCAGCTAAACTTAGCCTTTCTGGCTGCAATGGGCACTTGAGTAACTAATGAAGAGTTATCTAAGTTTTGTTTTACTTTTGTGTGGCTGTTAAAGCAACAGCGGGTTCAAGCCGCGCGTTATATATACGGGTGGAGCGGTGGTGCGGTGGTTGGCACACGTGCACCGCGAACCCGGTCATCTGGGTGCGATGTTCGGCCACAGCGCTAAATATCAGAGGACGAGTGATATCTCACCCCACGAACTTGCATTGATCAGCGTTGTCAAGTATGGTCAAACAATCCCGCCCTTGACTGAAATGGCGTGGGGAGTGTTTAATCCAGCAGTGGATTAACAAAGGCCTGTACATTCGCATAATTACTGTACATGTATATAATCTGCAGGCATGTAGCGATGTATCGATTCATGATAAATAAATTGAGTAGTGCGCATAACAATGGAAATTGTGAATTATGCAAAAATGATTTATGTCAACGATAAAATAGTTTAGTACCCTTAGACGAATTCAGCTAATGTTACAAGTGTGTCAAACAATACAGCGATGCAAACCAGGCAACATAAATGAATGCGATTTAAAACCTCGAGTCATGACATTTCACGAAATCACTGGATGTATGGGGATTCATTTGTGAACCGTTACATGCCCAGTTAAACAGCAATGCGGATATAAAAAAAACTAGCTCAGAAAATCGCCAAAACTACCACCGCATGGACAGCATCAATGACAAATGCATACATATTCTTTGGTTCTATTCGGTAAAATCACGTAGGTAAAAAATAAAATAACAAAAATCACGACGTTTCGGCCACAACACAAGTGGCCTTCATCAGGTGAAGGGACCGTGCTGTCATAAGGACAGCGTTTTTTTACCTACGTGACTTTACCGAATAGAACCAAAGAGTATGGATCCTTGCAGTCACGAAAGCTTACAATCTAGAATGCATACATATTCTTTGGTTCTTTCGGTAAAGTCACGTAGGTGACAAATGCATGCAGTTGTTTCGCTCCAACTGCGCGCATCCATGCACAGGACGTGCTGGATGCACACCCCCAGGGCACGGTACAATATTGAACACCAATTCACTCGGAATGCAGCCAACTTTAAATTCTCGTTCATTTTTTTGTTTAAAAGTGGCCAGATTGGCACAGTGCTCACAGCACCGTGCTGACGCTGCTGGGTTCGAATCTGGGACAGCTGCTTGTGATTAATTTAGATTCTCCGATGCAGCGAGTTCATGGTCTTGGCCTCATTACCATTGACTGAATTAAACAAACAAAAAAACCCATCATTACAATAACAATTGTTGTTGTAAATTTCACCTTGGAGAATTTTAAGAGATCAGTTTGACGGCCACACGACTAATATTTATCTGCAGCGGCGCCGAAGAGAAAGTCGGACCCCTTGTGTGTCAATAAAAAGATCAAGAGAATGAATCTCAACAGTAGGTCTGCGATATCTGCATCCACAGTCTGTTCTCGAACACAAAGGGTTGCATGACTGTACAAGAGTTCCAAATGGACAATTCCTCTCAGTATATGACCGTAAGAGCGCAATCGGAATAATATTATGAAGGGTATAAGAAAAATGTATTTCAAAAGGCATTTGTGTTTGTTTTCTTTGCATTCAGTATTGGACCCCACTTTGCCCAAGTCAAACAAGTCGCTGTTGAGCCTGCAGTGCACATGGGCCAGTCAGTCACCAGTCACCGTGCTCATTTGGGTCAATCCTCAGCATCAGGTGGAGGAAGCAGTGTCCACCACCTCACCATCCCAGCCACGTGCTCCGTCCTCTCAGCCTACCTCTTCCAGGTTTGGGACCGGCAGTTATGGACCTCAAGAGACAGTGAAAGAAATACCTCAAGCTACACTGGCCCTACTCACGGCCTCCCTGCAGTCATCATCAGAAGACCTCGGGTCACATGCGCATGCGGTTGGGTGCGAGGTTTCACTGGACAGCAGTGAGCCCGGCATTGCTGTGGTCAACACAACAGGTGAGCTGCAGTGGAATCTTATGCAATAGCATTACTGGACAGGACATTGGGAAATATGCTATTACAAATTCTGTAGTTATAGAAGCATACCTATGACGATATCAAACTGTAAAATAAAACTTTTTTTTATTTTACCAGGTAAGGCCCATTGAACTATATAGTTCTTTTTCAGAAGCGACCTGGCCACAAATGATAGCTCAACGAAGTGACTTGTCATTTGGAATTTATAGCAGCCAAATACTCTAAACACAATATTTTAAATATGAAGGGGAAAATCGGAGGACCCGAAATAATCCACGTGACTACAGGGAGGACATGCAAACTACAAATATGCAGCAGACGTCAGGGTCACGAGAGAACCCACAACCTCCAGTCTACCAGGCGCGGTAGTTATTCATATATCGCCACCGTGGCTCCCAGACTTATCAGATCTGAGAAGCTAAGCAGAGTTGAGCCGAGATAGTTTGTCCAGTACGGTACTCGGATTTGGTGACCACATGGTTAAAACAAGGGTTGCAAGCTGCTGTGGAGCTTCGTTGTCAGCAGAGTAGAGTTCAGCAAAATCCATTGCTTAGGGGCCGTCCATAAATGACGTCACGCACCTAGGGGGGGGGGTCAGACATTTGTGACGATGTGTGACGAGGGGAGGGGGGTTTGAGAAATGTGACGTCACATCAAAATGCGCAACTTTAAATAAATATAGACAACACGTTCTACTTAATTAAATAGACTTTTTAATAAATGTTTTCTCCTACAACATCAGAGTGCAGCGCCACATTAAATACGCACTACAATGGCAATAGTTTAAAGCTATTTGATGCATGTTTCGTATTATTTTTGGGGGGGGGGGGGCAGAGCTTTGTGACGTCATATTTGAGGAGGGGTCTGACTTTTTGTGACGCCGTGTGACGAAGGGGGGGGGGGGGTCAAAAATCGGCCAAAATCGCGTGACGTCATTTATAGACGGCCCCTGAATGTGCAATGCTCCAGTGTCTATGCTTCCCACCTTCATCAACCTGCATTGTCCAGCATGGCAAGGTATCGTCAAATAACCTCCATGTTCCACATTGTATACGTAAACCCTCGTCCAGCAGTGGATTGACAAAATGGCTGTACATATACGTCACCAGTCACAATGTATTCTAATGATTGTATAACCCTCTTAGATGGGCAATTCATCTTTGGTCGGTAGACACTTGCCTGCCATTGCTACTCGATAAACTTCAGCAACCAGACTCTTTTTTTTATCTCATCCACACTGTTCAACGACCATACCGGAGCTGAAAACACGTCTCTTTCTGCTTCTTTCCTCGTTGTCGATCCTGTAATTTACGAGCGAAACCCCCATCAATACAGAAAAAATAGTGCGGACAGAAAACCCATACGTTTCAAACAATGCGCGGAAATGTCTCAAAAGCACTCATAAGCATCGATTTAAAGCTCTCGTGACTGCAAGGATTCATCTTCTTTGGTTCTTTCGGTAAAGTCACGTAGAATGAGAATAAAATAATAAATTGATAAAATAAAATAACAATAATATTCTCACGACGTTTCGGCCACAATACAAGCGGCCTTCATCAATGTATTATTTTATTCTCATTCTACGTGACTTTACCGAAAGAACCAAAGAAGACACTCATAAGCAGTTCCTGAACAAGTGTATTGTGCCCTCTTTTCCTGGGTCACCATCAAAATATATTTGAGCAAATGTGACAAACTGATGGCCCAAAGCAAATACAACGACTGAAAAATCACCCAATTGCAATTACACATAGCAACATTGCCCCCTACTGTGAAAACGATACTTTCTTGGGTAAACAAGGCTAATAATAAACATACTGTATATGTAATTGGTGCATCCTGTTATCCTGAATTTGCCAAACACTTATGGTTACTCCTCTTATCTACAGATTCCCGCAGATAATAGGATCGTCACACGGATAACAGAGTCAATTTTGAGGCGTGAATAAGAAGCGCAGATAACAAAAGGGTGGGATATGGTCTAATATCACTGCATTATCATGTTTCGTCACACCCTGCCAATGTGCCACATGCCGTTTATATTTAAGTGGTGGTGGAATAGTGACGTGTTTGTTTCACGCAGTCTCTTTACAGGAATTTACAACGTGCTTCTTCATGGGCAGACTGACACCAAGAGCCAATGTCGATCCAACGGGAGAGCCAAATGAAGGTTACCTACCATGAATTACCCTCATCATCATTATCATCATTATGAATATCATCACAGATGAATATCATCGCAGATGATATTGATGTTGATGACCACCGCTCACTTACAGACTTTGAGGTATGGGATGTTGGGTACTAAATTACCAAATGTGCTATAATTTGCCACCTAATTACTATAAAATAACAAGTTAATTGAAAATAACAACAGGTGTCTCTTTCTACTGTCACAGAGGAAAGGAAAATCGACATTTCAGCTAACTGGCTTTCAAAAAATATTGAGGTTGACAGAAAGAGTGCTAAATAGTCTTGGCGAGTGATGTGGGGTGGTAGGTAATGTCAGATAATAGCCTCGCTAGGACGCAATGAAGCATTAGATTTACCATTATTAGTATCCATTCTGGAAGTTAATAGGTGGTCTGACTGGAGTGTAATGAGCTAGTTAGTGGAAGTCAATTCTTGAATAGCATTAAGGTCAGGAAACTGATTTTGATTCTGAGCTTCAAGACGAGTGTAGCCTCTGCTTCTCCCGTTATCCTCAACGCAATCTCAAGAAGACCAGTCATCAGAAACACAGACACCTCAAGTGATGGAATAATGAAATATATTATTTTTATTAACCTGTTATTTTCCGTATAAGTTCGCTGAAGCAGCAATTTGACCACGTACTGTAATAACCATTCCATTATTGTCATGAATGATTGCGATGTTGACCTACCATTTCAAATACTCCAAAGTCACCCACTATTATTATTACTATCACTTAGCAACACAGCAAATATATCAATTTGTTTTTCACGATGAAAGTGGCTCCCTTGAGAGGTCAGGAGATTGCTGTGAAACTGAGGAGCGATGGAGAACTTCTAAATGTAGATCGATGTGTTTCAGCACCCAGCTCAAGGCTGTGATCCCATCGTTGGGAGCTCTTCTTTATTTTTCAAAAAGTTCGTATATATATAAAAAAAAACAGGCAGCACTTGCCATCAGACGACACGACCTGGGAACTATTCCAATCCTAAATATAAAGCGCTTCAGCATCCAACATCGCCGTCTCGTGAAATGGAATGCCACGCCACTGCGATGCTTGTTGACGATGTGTTCGCGTGAACCGAGATACGTTTGCGATGACTGAGTTTACGTTTTCGGTTATTGAGGGACGTTTGTGATGACCGAGTTGAACTACTAAACTAAAACTAAACTATGTTTTAGATTTTTTTACCAGGTAAGGCCCACTGAGCTGTAAAGCCATTTTTCAGAAGCGACCTTGCCGCAAATGATCACGCAACGAACTGGCATATCACGTGAAAATGTATCGCAGTCAAACACTCTAAACGCATGTTTATAACTGTGGAGGGAAAACCTGGAAGACCTGTAAAAAAAATCCACGCGACCACGGGGAGACCATACAATCTTCAAATATACAGACATCATCAGGATCGGGATGGAACCCACTACCTCCTGCATATTAGGCGAGGTAGTTAACATCTCGCCACCACGGCACCCATTAATGGTGTGACCGGTGTGTGTGTGTGTTTATCGATGGCTCACAGGCCAGAAGGACGAGGAGCTGGCGTTCCGACAGGAGCAGGCCGCGATCGTGAAAGTCATTCTCTTCGTGGTGTGCACGATAGCAGCCATTGCTCTCATGGTGTTCGGAGTGTTTGAGGTCAAAATGGAGGTGCGCTCAGCTAAGAATTCCACACACCACCAAATGATGACACGCGGGACGGAAGATCATTTGGGGGTGCTGGTGGTGGTGGTGGTGGGGGGAATTTGGGGCAGAGACTTTAGATAAAAAATCATTCTGGGAGGGGAAGGCCAGCGCAAGTGGTCAGGGTAAGGCTCGAAAGTGGTTTGGGTAGGCAGCCGGACCACAGTGGAAGAGGGTCTCCATGAAACAGAGACATATGGAGAGGCAGGAGACAGAGGGACCAACAGAAAGATTCACAGACATGGAGAGAGATGAAGAGGATACCTTGAAACATAGTGACGGATAGAGAGATGTGGTGAGACACGAAGAGCAGTGCTTACTCATACTGTTATTTCGTCTGTTTATGGGGCATTAGAATAGTGTAGAGAATGGGGAGGCAAACAGCAGGACCCATTTCAATCCTTGCATCAGGGCCCATACCAACCACACGACACCACTGCTCCTCAATGTTATGTTGCCAAATTTTGCAAAGCAGACCATTCAACTAAAAATGGGCATCGTAATGCAATACCTGCACGTGTTCATAAATGTGATTCTTATCTAATTGTATTGCTTTCACACTCTCATGTTTTACAGCAAATAAGTGCTGTAGTCTGCAAATTGATCAGGGCACGGGATGGCAGAGTAAGTACTACAATCTTATTATACTATCATCAGCAGCTGCCATGCTCTATCCAGTGTTGGATGAAGGTCTCTCAAAGTCTTTTAATAATAACGCTTTCATAATATATAGCGTCATTCATGCCAACAGCATACCACAATGCTGTACATTAATTTTATACAAGGATCAAATCTCATGGACGCGGTTGGCTGCGTACGGCGCCAAAGAAGCCCAACAAACACAGATCCGCAATGCATCTCGCTGTGCCGCACGAACTCATCTCATTGCTCTGATCTCATCACTGATGTCATCACTGATCTCATCTGATCATCACTGATTCCATCTGATCTCATCACGAGCTGATCTCATTGCTTCATCATCTGCGGTGGTCATTCTCTTGTGCGTGTTTCTATCTCGGTCTTCGTCACTATCAAAAGTCTCTTCCATCGACCATCATCATTGATAGCGATGTATACTACGCAAGCCCATTTGATTTTCTTAACAGTCAACATGATGTTCCTAATATGTTTTTTTATTCACGTGTTCCTCTTTCTTTCAGTGTAATTCCAAGCATGCGCTGCTGCATGCGTCTTTGTGCACTTTTCAGCTTTTGTTCCACTCTTTGTCAATGTCCATGCATCCCATACATGCATCTTAGTAGGTAATATGCAATACTTTTCTTCCATCGGCATATTGGATAGATATTTGCTCTTTATTTGTATCAAGTATTTTTTTTACAAAAGCATTCCAGTCCACTTTCACTTGTTTCATCGTGTCACAATTTTTTTTTTATCCCAGTCCACCTTCAATAATTGATACTATTATGAATTTAGTGGTAGATTGACACAGTCATCCGAGTTTTCACAAACCAAGGCCTGAGTAAAAATTTTTTTATAAATTATTAAATACATTTACACCAATGGAAACGGCTAAAATGAGACTGCGTGAAGAAAGTCACAAAGAGGGCTGGGCAATTAATTCACAGTGTCAGATGCTTCCCAAATAAAATGATTGCAGAAATTTTGATTTACACATAAATGTGGAAATTACTAACCATCTCAGATGTGCTGAATAATTGAAGAACTTAATCAAGAAAGGCTGCAACGTTTTGTTCAAGATAAATGAGTCAATTAAAGAGTAACTTACATCATATTCGCAAGACAAATTCAGATATTAGTTAGAGAGAGACACGACTGGAAAATATATTCTACACCAGTTATTGAAAGTGGCCGGTATCAACATGAATGGACTGCACGTATAGGACTTGAATGGAATCGAATCTCATACCCATGGGTCAATGTGTGTATTGCGAGCTTGAGAACCGACTGTAATTGACGCTCCGTTACTTACTGAATTACTTCTGTTTTACTTCACAGAGCAAGGCGGTACCTGCTTGTGGTGTTCGTGAAGCCAGGAATGGGAACACGCAGGAGCATCGGCACTCGTTTCAGAAGATCCCTGCTCATAAATCCGACTTGATCCTCGTAGAGACAACGTTTTAGATTCGTGTGGGCGTTATGATCTCAGGATACACTACTAGGCCTTCCCAAACCTCAGGGGCACCATAGACGATACAAAGATTGACTCATAAATGGTGATCATTAAAGAGAAAATTGGGCCACTTTGTACCACTAGCATGATTTTTTTCAGCATAAAGCAACATTGATTAATCCTTATTCCTGAATATCAAGTTGCGTGGAATTCATCATTGTTTATGTACATCACTAGCAAGTATTCAATTAGACATGGCTGTTCACTTTAGCTGTAAACATTTCAAAATGGAAGTGTATGTAACATTTCTGGGTGTTATCAGAGCCATGAATGTTGCAACCTGCAAAGTTTAAAAGTAACATTGTTTTTCAGGTTGGATGTGGTTAAGTATAACTTTACACACTTGTTTATAAATTCAATAACTTTTTAAAATATAGTACACAGATAGGTGATTTAAAGAGGAAATCAGGAACATCGACATGCTTGGCATATCAGGATGACATCACCGTTCCTGTGCACATTCTTGTGAAAGTCACCAACTCAAAAGGGATGAGATTATGTTTTTATATTTATACAGCAGTGTAACGAGGCTACTGTATACCGGTTCCGTTCTCGCAAGGACTCATCAGTTCACTGCAGGCATCATTGCATAGTGTTTCCACGAGGGTTGCTACCTTTATTGGTCTTCCTAGGATCACGCTTTTGTCGAGGTAGCTAACGTGGAAAATCTGTCAGTCTTCACGCAACGTCGGGCAGTTGCATAATAATACGCTGCTCAAAAAAATCTTCCCATTTGTGTGTCCTCTCTTCTGGTATTGTGTAATATTATTATTTTTCCAGTGATATGTGCAGTTCTTTTGTATCTCGGAGGTGGCAACCCTAGACAATTAAAAAGTCGCATGAAGTTCGCTAAACAAAATACAGTAGTTGCATTCGGCCTCCATCAGCAAACTCAAAGGCATATGAACCTTATGGCGGGACCCCGGGGTCCCATAAGCCCCCGGCTCTAGCATGAACTGCGTTGCGATGTCATTTTATGTCTGTTGAAGGCGAACAATACGGCAATCTGTTCCTCTCGACGAGCTCTACACGATGCGCTAACTCAAGTTTCAAAGTTTTGTTTCTTCTGCGCATTCGTCCTCGCCGTTGCGCTTGGACGACACGACAACAGAATAATCCGCGCCAGGTAGGTTGCGCGGTGGGACGGAGTCGCCAAAAATAAATTGATGAATTACGATTTTGACTTCCCCCGGGGTCCCGCCATAAGGTTCATTATGGGAAAACTCGGGTTTGGTTAAGGGTTCATAATATCCACCATTATTTATGTTCCCCTACTTCAACCCAAACATTAAACAGGAAGTATTTTGAACGTCAAATTCGATTAATGTTTCCTAGTGCGAAATAAAACTTGTATGATAAATGTATAGAATGAAAACAAATAACGCAGTGTACAATACTGCACGTGTATCCGTGTGCAGTAATGCAAACTGCAGGAAGAAAAATCGTGCGGCTGAACCTCACTGCCTCACTGGAGGCTAGAAACATTTGACCTGGGACCTGGGATGTTGCCGCTTGGGGGCCAGGGTGGCGAATGTGTCCTTCCGTGGCAGCATCATCGCGGGCAGTGCAGTTACGATGCATCCAGGAATCTCACGGTCAACCGCGAATGGTCGAGCCACAGATGCGCGATTGGCGAGCCGTATCTCAATACATTTATCTCAAAACCGCCACAGTTAAACCCGGCGAGAGGGAAGGAATTGTCGCACTTGCAGAAGCCGAATCTAAGGGACATTTTAATTGATTGTGGGACCATGGCATGGGAGTGAAATGAAATAACAAAACTTTAAAATAACTCGTTCAAAGAAAGACACGGAGCGATCAAGAAACAAACCCACACATGAGCAAACGGTGCAGAAGAAATAATTACATTTAAGAACACGCTGGAAAATATAACATGATATGCGTTTCGATGTACTGTCTTGCAAGTAAAAAAAAACATGTGTATGTTCCCTACTGATTGTGTGATACGTAGTGAATGTATTTAGAGTGGAATTTGTAATGAGTAGCTGTCAAACACAGTGTGTCTATTAAAATATTAACAATGTACCAACTTTGTCCTTGTTGATGGATAGTGGTGAGGATTTGAATGGGATGGATGCCTGTAATCGGGCCATCTACCGGAGCTAAAATATATTAAAAAATATGCACACGCTGAGGTTCACAATTCAACATTTGCAATCTAGCGTTGTGACATCGTCTCATTGCAGCCATTGGGTGTCTTTTTCACCGCCATGGATGGGTCTCAAACGCGTGGCTAACATGTAAAGCTCATTGCAAATGAACGAAGAATGGATGGAAATCTCTCACTCGGGACGCCTTCACAGCCTGCCCCGAGGGCACAAATCAGACTGTGGTGCTGCAGCGGTTTCTAATGTGAACAACTTAAAATGTCATCTTCGTTAGGCAATTCGCGTTGAAAAGAATCGTTACACTCGAATTTTTATGAAACGCAACAAAGCAAATTGTTTCTAAGTCTTTTTTTTTAATTACAAAAATAATTTCTCATCTCCAGCCGCTTGGTGGGACGGCTTCTTCCCCTCCCAATGCCCCCTAGTGGACGAACCGCATCTGGAGAGCCCCACCACCATCACCCGTGCCTCCTGAGTAGAAGAGCCCCTTCCGCCAGCAAGTGGCGTTGAGCAAAGTAAACAATTTGTGTGGCCCACTGGGACAGAGGTGGCCGGGGCAAGGCGGGGAGGGGGCTTGGCTGGGCTGTCGTCTGCACCGTTGAGGGCCCATCCATTGAATAGGTACGCAAAAATCTGTCAAAATTTGACCTCTCCTCCCGTCCCTGTACGCACGCGGACTTTTTACACCCCCCCCCCCCCCACCTGCGTACGTACAGCTTGACGCACACACCCCCCTCCCCGAACCCTATAGAACGGCCGATATTTAATCCACGCAGAAACGATCAAGGATTAATAATATTAACGTGTTTAACCAAACAGATATTCCACCGTCGGCTGCATAAAAAAATTAAGTTGCGTAACTTGGCCACTTATGTTTGCTGAGCTGCGTGATAGCTGCAGTCAGGGACACGGTGACACACAAAGTGTGACACCTATCCCACAGTCCCACTTCTCCCGGTAGAACTTGTCAGACATCTGAAGAAACTGAACTGTGTCTCATGTGAAGGTCAATGTAGGCAAATTCTACACTATGTTACACGAATTTTTTTCCTGGGTAGTAAGTGTTATTTCCTAATTGCTTATGCCTCAAAAGTATAGAAAATCGCTATTATTCCCCCCCCCCGTTTCCTATGCGTACGTACATTGCCAGTAGACCACTCCCTCCCCCCCCATACCCAAACGTACGCGTTTGGGTTAACCCCTCCTACATGCACACTCAATGGATGGACCCTTGCCTCTGCGAATTGAACCTCTCCGAAATCTGGAGGGAAATCGTCCCCCCCCCCCTGACCTGGCAAGCCATTGAAACCCTCCGAAATCTGGAGGGAAATCGCCCCCCCCCCCCCCTGACCTGGCAAGCCATTGAACCCCTCCGAAATCTGGAGGGAAATCGCCCCCTTTGACCTGGCAAGCCATTAAACCTCTCCGAAATCTGGAGGGAAATCGCCCCCTCTGACCTAGCAAGCCATTGAACCTCTCCGAAATCTGGAGGGAAATCGCCCCCCTCTGACCTGGCAAGCCATTGAACCTCTCCGAAATCTGGAGGGAAATCGCCCCCTCCGACCTGGCAGGCCATTGAACCTCTCCGAAATCTGGAGGGAAATCGCCTCCCCCCCCTGACCTGGCAAGCCATTGAACCCCTCCGAAATCTGGAGGGAAATCGCCCCCTTTGACCTGGCAAGCCATTGAACCTCTCCGAAATCTGGAGGGAAATCGCCCCCTCCGACCTGGCAGGCCATTGAACCTCTCCGAAATCTGGAGGGAAATCGCCTCCCCCCCCTGACCTGGCAAGCCATTGAACCCCTCCGAAATCTGGAGGGAAATCGCCCCCTTTGACCTGGCAAGCCATTAAACCTCTCCGAAATCTGGAGGGAAATCGCCCCCTCTGACCTAGCAAGTCATTGAACCTCTCCGAAATCTATAGGGAAATCGCCCCCTCTGACCTGGCAAGCCATTGAACCTCTCCGAAATCTGGAGGGAAATCGCCCCCCCTGACCTGGCAAGCCATTGAACCCCTCCGAAATCTGGAGGGAAATCGCCCCCTTTGACCTGGCAAGCCATTAAACCTCTCCGAAATCTGGAGGGAAATCGCCCCCTCTGACCTAGCAAGCCATTGAACCTCTCCGAAATCTGGAGGGAAATCGCCCCCCTCTGACCTGGCAAGCCATTGAACCTCTCCGAAATCTGGAGGGAAATCGCCCCCTCTGACCTGGCAAGCCATTGAACCTCTCCGAAATCTGGAGGGAAATCGCCTCCCCCCCCTGACCTGGCAAGCCATTGAACCCCTCCGAAATCTGGAGGGAAATCGCCCCCTTTGACCTGGCAAGCCATTAAACCTCTCCGAAATCTGGAGGGAAATCGCCCCCTCTGACCTAGCAAGTCATTGAACCTCTCCGAAATCTAGAGGGAAATCGCCCCCTCTGACCTGGCAAGCCATTGAACCTCTCCGAAATCTGGAGGGAAATCGCCCCCCCTGACCTGGCAAGCCATTGAACCCCTCCGAAATCTGGAGGGAAATCGCCCCCTTTGACCTGGCAAGCCATTAAACCTCTCCGAAATCTGGAGGGAAATCGCCCCCTCTGACCTAGCAAGCCATTGAACCTCTCCGAAATCTGGAGGGAAATCACCCCCCCTGACCTGGCAAGCCATTGAACCTCTCCGAAATCTGGAGGGAAATCGCCCCCCCTGACCTGGCAGGCCATTGAACCTCTCCGAAATCTGGAGGGAAATCGCCCCCCCTGACCTGGCAAGCCATTGAACCTCTCCGAAATCTGGAGGGAAATCGCCCCCCCTGACCTGGCAAGCCATTGAACCCCTCCGAAATCTGGAGGGAAATCGCCCCCTTTGACCTGGCAAGCCATTAAACCTCTCCGAAATCTGGAGGGAAATCGCCCCCTCTGACCTGGCAAGCGGTGCCGATGCCGCGCGCGCAACGAATCCGCGCGGCGCGAAATCGGAAGCCAACTCGGGGCTGCAACAATCACCACGACCACCATCAACCACCACGACCACCACCATCAACCACCACCATCAACCACCACGATCACCACAACCGCAGTCAACAACCACCACCAAGACCGTCAACCACCGTCAACCCCGTCACAGCTGGACGATGCTCGCGTGTAGGAAGACAGGTATTGTGTGTGTGTGGATGTCTGTCTCTCTGTCTCTCTCTCTCTGTCTCTCTCTCCGTCTCTCTCTCTCCGTCTCTCTCTCGCCCCGCCTGTCAAGTTGTCGACGTTGAGGCGGCCTCGCGTCGAGCGGGCAGCGGTGGTGCGGGTGGGAGGAAGGTCTCACGGGCACTGTTGTTGGGCTTTCACCCACTGTTGTTTTGTCGTCCGTAACTACACGCGCGCGTGTGTATGTGTCACGGTGTGTGTATCACGGTGTGTGTGTCACGGTGTGTGTGTGTCACGGTGTGTGTGTGTATCACGGTGTGTGTGTGTGATCACGGTGTGTGTGTGTGATCACGGTGTGTGTGTGTGTGTCACGGTGTGTGTGTGTCACGGTGTGTGTGTGTATCACGGTGTGTGTGTGTGATCACGGTGTGTGTGTGTGATCACGGTGTGTGTGTGTGTGTCACGGTGTGTGTGTGTCACGGTGTGTGTGTGTGCATCACGGTGTGTGTGTGTCACGGTGTGTGTGTGTCACGGTGTGTGTGTGTGCATCACGGTGTGTGTGTGTCACGGTGTGTGTGTGTCACAGTGTGTGTGTCTGTCACGGTGTGTGTGTCACGGTGTGTGTGTGTGCATCACGGTGTGTGTGTGTCACGGTGTGTGTGTGTCACAGTGTGTGTGTCTGTCACGGTGTGTGTGTGTGTGTCACGGTGTGTGTGTGTGTGTCACGGTGTGTGTGTGTGTGTCACGGTGTGTGTGTCACGGTGTGTGTGTCACGGTGTGTGTGTCACGGTGTGTGTGTCACGGTGTGTGTGTGTGTCACGGAGTGTGTGTGTGTCACGGTGTGTGTGTGTCACGGTGTGTGTGTGTGTCACGGTGTGCGTGTGTGTCACGGAGTGTGTGTGTGTGTCACGGTGTGTGTGTGTCACGGTGTGTGTGTGTGTGTCACGGTGTGTGTGTGTATCACGGTGTGTGTGTATCACGGTGTGTGTGTGTCACGGTGTGTGTGTGTCACGGTGTGTGTGTGTCACGGTGTGTGTGTCACGGTGTGTGTGTCACGGTGTGTGTGTGTGTCACGGAGTGTGTGTGTGTCACGGTGTGTGTGTGTCATGGTGTGTGTGTGTGTCACGGTGTGCGTGTGTGTCACGGAGTGTGTGTGTGTGTCACGGAGTGTGTGTGTGTGTCACGGTGTGTGTGTGTGTGTCACGGTGTGTGTGTGTATCACGGTGTGTGTGTGTCACGGTGTGTGTGTGTGTGTCACGGTGTGTGTCACGGTGTGGGGAGCGGTGGTGTAGCGGTTAGCGCGCTGCGCTATGAACCTGGCGACCCGGGTTCGATTCCCGCTCACGGCCAACACCACCAGTGACGATTATTTGAACCGGTCCTGGGCCTCCCCTAGGTCGACTCAGCCTCAAATGAGTACCTGGTGCGGTGTGTAAACATTGCCACTTGGGAGACAAAGGCGGTCGGGCGTGGTGCTGGCCACCCACCCCCTCGTGTACCGTTCCGGCCTTCATAGGTGCTCGCTAACAGCACTTGCCCCTACAGTCTGTTAAGGCTATATGGGGGATCTTTGTCTTTGTGTGTCACGGTGTGTGTGTGTGTCACGGTGTGTGTTACGGTGTGTGTGTGTGTAAGAGGAGGAGTTGCAGACGCTGCTGCTGAGACTGGAGCGTGCCACTAAGAGATGGGGCCTTACCATCAGCCCCACCAAAACTAAGCACCTGCCTGGGTATTTTGTACCATCGGACACTCCACCCCCACAACTCCCAATCGGTGATGGGGCAGTTGTGGAGAGAGTGGAGAGTTTCCCATACCTGGGCAGTGTGCTTATGACCGGCTCCAGTTTAACAGCAGAGGTCTCACTCCGAATCAGTCGAGCGGCAATATCTTTTCATCGGTTGTGTAACGCTGTGTGGAAGCTACCTGGTCTATCGCTCCGCACAAAGCTTCAGGTCTTCTCGGCCACGGTCATTCCCTCCCTTCTCTACGCTTGCGAAACGTGGACCCCCCTAATGGAACATCTTTGCCGGTTAGAAACATTTAGGCTGGTCTGCCTTCGATCCATCCTGGGTTTAACCAGACTGGATTGTGTGAGGAGCTCACAAATCCTTGAAAGATTTGGGCAGGGTCCCATCGGTAAGCTCCTCCGGCGGGGAAGGCTGCGATGGCTGGGTCATGTAGCCCGCATGCCCAGCCACCGCATGCCGAAACAGCTTTTGTTTGGCCGGATTGAGGGGGCTAAGCGGGCGCGGCACGGGCTAGAAAAGAGATGGAGTGATGTGGTACAGGAGGACGTGGAGCTGAGTGGACTTGCCGATGACTGGTACCAGCGGTGTCAAGATCGGCCTCTGTGGAGGAGGCTCGTGAAGGACGCTACTGGGCAGTTGGAGGCAGTCGCCCTCCAACAACAACGGAGGGTGTGAGGAGCGACGCTCACAACAACGAGCGGAGCGCTGGGTGACTAAAGCACAGCAGGTTGCCACAGTAGGGGGCACAGGTGGTGCATCAGCTAGTCATCTCAGTCAGTCGACCCGTGGTACCTGGGTCTGCCCCGTGACCTCCTGCCAGCGGGCGTTCGACACTTCACGTGGCCTCAGGGTGCACATAGCCTGGCACAAGCGTCGTGGTGATGTCACCGCCACTTAGTGGCGAATGGCGGTTGTTGTTGTATATCACGGTGTGTGTGTGTAGTGGGGAGCGGTAGTGTAGCGGTTAGCGCGCTGCGCTATGAACCCGGTGAACCGGGTTTGATTCCCGCTCACGGCCAACACCGGTGACGATTATCTGAACCGGTCATGGGCCTCCCCTAGGTCGACTCAGCCTCAAACGAGTAACTGCTGTGGTGTGTGAACATCGCCACTGGGGAGACAAAGGCGGCCGGCCGTGGTGCTGGCCACCCACCCCCTCGTGTGGCGTGCCGGCCTTCATAGGTGCTCGCTAACAGCACTTGCCCCTACAGTCTGTTAAGGCTATACGGGGGATCTTTGTCTTTGTGTCCACGGACCTGGGCGTCCCTTAGGTCGGCTCGGCCTCAAATGAGTACCTTGGTGTGTTTGTGTAAACATCACCACGGGGGAGACAAAGGCGGTCGGGCGTGGGTGCTGGCCACCCACCCCCGCGTGTGTCTAGGCGCTCGTTAAACAGCACTTTAATTATAATCAATAAATAATTATTTATTGATTTTGATACTTAGTACGTGTTTCAGAAAAAAAGGAAAATAATGAGCAGCGAATAGCAAAATATCGAGATAAATAACGATTATCGTAGACAATTATATTGTGTGATATATCGCGGGTTTTGCCATATCGCAGTGAAACGATGTACAGTACTATACAAGGTGGTGCAGATGGCTTGTGACCCCTAATTAATTGACCCCTGACATGTTTTTATTTTGTTTTAAATAAACACTTCAACATTTTTGTTTTAGAGACTTAAATAGGGGTCACAAGACATCTGGGCTGCTCTGTACGGTACATGGTTGTGTGTTGCTGCAGGTATAGTCGGAGTGATGTTAATTCAGGTATCGCTGTCGCAGTTCATGACTAAGCCAGCGGCCTCCTTCCTCTGTGAACAATGTCGAGTGCGGTGCAGGGTCACGTTAGGTCGGTTTAGGGTTACATGGGGGTAAAATCGGGAGTTATCTGATGCATTGGTTACATGGGGTAATGGTTAGGGATGCCTGTGTTATGCGTTAGTCACCCAAGTGTGAGAGACTCAGCTGTGGCTTCCTGGATTAGGGGTTGCAACGCTTGCAGACCTTGTTTCAATCCACATACCGGTCGTGGAGGATTGGAGGTTACCCTAACCAAACTGCCAACTTGCGACTAAATAGTAAAACATATTTCTGCTTGTTAATGAGACACCCATCCATCCAGGTTATTTATTCGTTGTATTTCAGCAATTCTCAATCCAACAACGGATGAGGGCCTCCCCAAATTACATCATTCAGAACAGTTTTTTTTATCATACTTCAGTGCAGATTGGTGATATTACAATTTAGAATGTGTGTATTAGACTAAGTAAGCCAATTTAAAGCCCCTTCATAAAAACGGAAAGTATCGCTGTGTGTATCCCCCGCCTTCCTCTCCGTGTACCCGTGTAGTTTTAAGGCTGGGTCCATGGGTCCGCCAGCTCCACTCCGCCTTCCAGATAGCCGAGCTGCCGGAGACGCACCAGATGTTGCGGCAGACGTGCCAGGACTTCGCCGACAGGGAGCTGATCCCGATCGCGAGCAGGCTGGACCGCGAGCACAGCTTCCCCGGCGAGCAGGTCTGGCGTCCCAGGGACCCTAACACACACCAGGACACCACCTCTATGCTGCCACGCTAATTGACACGGGCACCCCACCGACACGGACATGCACACTCACACGTACACAGGCACACCACCGACACGGCCACACCACAAATATGGCCACACCACTGATGCGGCCACATCACCGACATGGCCACACCGCCGACACGGCCACACCACAAACATGGCCACACCACCGATGCGGCCACACCACAAACATGGCCACACCACAAACATGGCCACACCACTGACGCGGCCACACCACCTACGCGGCCACACCACCGACGCGGCCACACCACCGACACGGCCACACCACCGACACGGCCACACCACCGACACCGCCACACCACAAACATGGCCACACCACCGACACGGCCACACCGCCGACACGGCCACACCGCCGACACGGCCACACCGCCGACACGGCCACACCGCCGACACGGCTACAGCACCAACCAAGCCATGCCACCGACACGACCACATCTACGGCCACACCACTGACGTGGCGACACCTACAATTACAACCACACCACCATCACAAGCAACACACCTTTCCCAAAATGAACACGTGCCACAGGGTGGCTTCATCGCACCTATGTCAAACGACTGCTGGATGAAGGTCGTGGGGGTTGTTTGAGCACCCTTCGTCTGTCTCCCTGCTGAGTGCAGGTTGGTTCAAGCGAAAGCATTAATGTGGGGGTGCGTAAGGCCCAGCATCGTAATCTATTTTTCCACACTGCCCTCTGCTGCCCTTCACGTAGCCTGACAGCGGCCTATAACAACTTGCTGCGCATGAAGGTCACGCATCAAAACACTATCCAGGCTCACTTCCGAAATCTGATGCAATCTAGTGCATTTCAGGTGGTTTGTTATTAGACTACTACCAACATGCCTTTGCCAAAATCACACACACACCACAGGGTGGACCCAGCTGTGAACTAGCCTGCACGGCTTATGTACAGTTTAACTTCCCAATCGAGGCCCTTGCTCTGTTGCATCACTGGACATTCCTGTGCAACTGTGTATAAGGTTAACACACTTACTGTGCCTGTTATATACAGCTGTGTGAACTCATTTGCCCTTGAACTGACTTTGAAATTACTTTAGAGGCAACTATTGTGGGTTTTACTTGTGCCTCACATTTGCATGCACCTTGGATTCACCTTGGCCATCTCCTAACCTTCATGTGGGCACTGTACTACAAAAATGGATTATGAACTGAAATAAACCGGTGTAGCTTTTTTTTTTACAACTCACAGGGGTGGCTCCAAAAATGACTCCTCGAGAACATCTATATGCTTGATATGAAGCTTTCGTGATTCATTTTCTTTTATACCTACGTGACTTTACCGAAAGAAACAAAGAGTATGATATATATGCTTGCTCATTCAAGTTTAAGTTTATAATATTTTTTTTTGCCACCTCAATTAGGCTCTTTTTTTATCAAGTGCATATTAATAACATTGTTATAACCATATTTGCCATATGATCAAATAACTCTGAATCTAAGCAGTTCTGAGCTTGAATAGCTCTTGGATGGGCACCATGTACGCCTCTTTGTCCGGCGACTCCAGGGCTGTGCTTTGTGTTGGTCAGCAGAGGGCAATGCAGCAAAAGCCGTTGTCCTGTGCTACGCTGCTACATCTATACTGCCCACCTGCATCACCCCACACTGACCAAGCGAAGTGAAGTATGGTGAAATAACTCCTCACACCCCACGCAATATGGGGAGGCCCTCATTGCAGTAGTGGATTGACATAAGGGCTGCATTTACAGAGCCATGCTTTTCATTCCAGGCGTTTGATGCTAACGGACAATGTCAACAGGACTCTCAACTCTTTCCATTGGCTGATTTGAGCAGGGAGGTTTAGTGTTTTGGAAAATGTACAGTAAATGACTCTGTCCATACCCTCGCGCAGATCAAGAAGATGGGGGAGCTGGGGCTGCTGGCCATGGCTGTGCCCGAGCAGTACGGGGGTGCGGGGCTGGACACGCTGGCCTATGTCATCGCGCTGGAGGAGATCAGCAGAGGCTGCGCGTCCACTGGTGTCATAATGAGTGTCAACAACGTGAGCCTCTTTCCTGGAGCCCATGTTCCCGTACAGCAAGACCCATCGTATAATCATACCCGTGTGCACCCTTGACCTTGCTCACGGGGGACAAAATTCCATCCGTGGCCGCCCGCTTTGAGGCCACCACGACTGTTTATGATGCCCTCTCCAGCCTTTCTGAGGCCTGGATCAAACTGCCCTACCTGCCATCCCACTCTGTGGTCCTGGTCATCGCCTTGTATTAATTGTAAAAGTTTATAACCAGAGGTCAGGTGCCAGGCCGATGTGGCTGAGTTTGTGCCTGGCTCTTGGTTCCTGCCCTGGGCTTGTTGGCCTTGGACAATCCCGAGACTTTGCTCTCTCTCTCTCTCATTTTCCCAGTTTAGCAATGATTTGTTATTCATGGGGGTGAGAGCGGTTAGCTCACTGTGAACCTGCCAACCCAAGTTGAATTCCTGGCGACAATATCGTGGCAAGTAATATCTGAACCAGTCCTGAGCCCCCCTTTTCCCAAACCCACACTGACCATCATGGTGAATTTTAATAAAATAACTTCTCAACGACTAACATGGTGTGAGGAGGCTTCATTCACACCTCCAATTAGCATGGTTAGCTTTGTCTGGTGCAAAAGAAGTTCAACGTACATCCATGATTGAATAATTGCCAATGGGCTGTTTTTTGATACACAACTTATAGCATATCAGGTTACACAAATACTAATTGCCTGTGTTTAATGTGTTTGCTTCCAGTCATTGTTCCTCGGGCCTGTGCTGAAGTACGGCAGTGATGCCATCAAGGAGAAGTGGATCCCTTCGTTCACGGATGGACAGAAAATCGGCTGCTTCGGTTTGAGCGAACCAGGTGCGCAACAAGTTTAATTGGCTTCCTTTTCATCTACAGCACCCACTGCTGCTGTTTCATTACATAACCAACCTCTCTTGGCCACTTTCTGGTAACATTAATCGACATGTACATGCACAGCCCATTGTCAATTCACCGCCGGTGACGTGTGAGTGGCGTGTGAGTGACGTGTGAGTGGCGTGTGAGTGACGTGTGAGTGACGTGTGAGTGACGTGTGAGTGACGTGTGAGTGGCGTGTGAGTGACGTGTGAGTGACGTGTGAGTGACGTGTGAGTGTAACCCTTGGAAGCCACGCCACGTGGGTTCTGCGCCACGCAGGGAACGGCAGCGACGCCGGCGCGGCCTCCACCACGGCGCGGGTGGACGGGGACTCGTGGGTCATCAACGGCACCAAGGCGTGGATTACCAACGCCTGGGACGCCTCCGCGACGGTCGTGTTCGCCACCACCGACAAGAGCCTCAAGCACAAGGTTGCCCCTCTTCTCCTTGCTGGAACACGTCCATGCGTGGGGCACGCCCTTTCGCGAGCTCTAGCGGGAGACACTGACTCGCCACACCAGGATTTGTAAACAAACGTCTCGCCAGGTAGAAAACTCCTTTGAACCTTAGCAACAAGGCTTGGGTTTTACTGGTAGGAACGAAGTTGTAAACTGAGTGTACCAGCCTGCAATAGATTAATGTGTCCGTCCGTCCGTCCATCTCCTTTCAATACTTTAACTAAGTGAAATCTCGTGCTGTTGGGTGTAAAATCGGCAATAGACAGCGCAGAGACTTGTCCTACCAGCCCACCCTGCAGGGACCTGTTTTTGTTACCAATTGTGTTCTTGTGTAAGAGCTCCGGAGCAGCAATAATCTTGTTTTCATGACATCGTGATATCTCTAAAGGCCACGGTCACATGAGATCTACCACCTCACAACAATATATTATTTTATTGCAGCATTATGGCTGCACTAATCAGGTACTAGTGGGGAAGATTTTCAGTTTGGCAACAGTTTGTTTTTTCACGCACTCAGTGATAGAAGTGATTGAGGTGGTTGTTACCGTGGAGCCCACTTAAGGTATCTGAAAGTTTGGCCATCGGCAATATATAATATATGTTTTTGTGCATTTTGGCCCTTCCACAAAATGGAATGCTTTGAAGCAGTCGAAATAAATTATCAGCATATTTGTGATGGAGAATGAGTACGGATAAAATAAATTTGGAAAGAGATCCCTGCTTAAATATGAAAAATGCTGCTAAATAAATGCACACCCATACCGTCAAAGTACTGCGTGGTAGAAGTTATTTGCTCTGCAGAAGGTCAAATAGTCATTTTTGGCACCAGCATTTGAGTACATCCAACAAATATTGTTGAACCGTGATTGTATCCAACGTATCATGAATGGTCACCGCACACACACACACGCGCGCACACGAGCAGGGCATCAGCGCGTTTGTGCTGCCTATGCCGTGCCCTGGTCTGTCGCTGGGGAAAAAAGAGGACAAGCTGGGCATCCGTGCATCATCCACCGCCAACCTCATCTTTGAGGACTGCCGCATCCCCCGGGACAGCATGGTGGGCGAGCCTGGAATGGGCTTCAAGATTGCAATGGTAATTGTGGGTTCTTGCATTTACAAAGTGCTGTGGGATTACTTGAAAACACCTTGTGAGCTGTTAAAGAAAATGTCATATCAAGGGCATGATAAACTCGGAAAGTGTTTCTCAACTGCAGAACTTGAGAGCCAGCCAGGTCCACCTTTTTTTAAATTACCATTCTTTTCTAGTCACATGCAAATTAAGCCACTGCACAATTGAATTCACCTGATGGTTGGTAATCACAGAAAACTGTACCTTGGGGGGGTCGCAGGGATGGGATTTGTGAAACACTGCACCAGGACAACTTTATGACAATAGTTACCGGCAACACATTTACTGTAAGCAACCATGGCAACTTATTACAGCAGTGGTACAGAGTAATGGAGTTGTGGCTCACTGATTAAAAAATGTTTTGATATCAAGAATTGATCTACAAAGCTGTGACCTCTTGGATATACAGTAATTTGACAATATTTTGTCAACTAATGTTCTTATAATGGTGAAGCAACTATTTCCTGTGACGTCCTCAAATTTCCCTCTTGCAGGGGTGAGGAACCATACAGCCACATGTGACCTTCCATTTAGAAACAGCCACAAACTATATTTTATCCATCACTGCAAGAATCTTGGCTGCACTTCATTGGTGCTCGAGGGTAATATTTTTGACCTGGCAATAATGTGTTTAAATTGTTTTTATACCGGCAAGAGCCTCTTTGCAGTGACAGTTGAGCCCAAGGGATGTGTGTGTGCGCCAATGTGTGACTCGCCAAAGGTCTTCACAGCAAGGGAATGGGGGAAGTTCAGCCAGCGGACGATTGGGGGCGACAGACGCTGCATTCTGGCAGCGCCCATGCGGTCTTTGATGGCGGTGGTCGGGACGATTATTAAATACGAACAGGTTGGCGTGCTAATGGCGTGCCATGAGGACTGGCGTTCGGCGAGACCCAGGCATGCAGGAGTTGATTAATTGGTTCCCGTAACCGCTCAACCATCGTTGTCCCGCAGCAAACCCTCGACTCGGGGCGCATCGGCATAGCAGGGCAGGCGTTGGGCATCGGACAGGCGGCGCTCGACTGCGCGGTGGAGTACGCCAGCAAGCGGCAGGCTTTTGGCAAATCCATCACCAAGCTTCAGGCCATTCAGGTACGGATGATCGTGCAGGTTCATAAGTTGCACGTGCTGCAAAAGTCAACACAGGGAGACCCGGATAAACCGATATCCTTACTGTCAAGTTGATTTCATTGTTCGTATGCGACCTTGTTTATTCGGTGTGGGTTAAACATGCGCAGCTGTCTGTGCGTCGAATGAACGCACGTAAAAATTGCGCAACCACATTGTTACGTAACGGTGCATCGATGCGTCTCTTGAAAATTATTCGCTCGGGATACAGGCATCATCAAATCACGTGTGCGAGAATCAATGTTCAATGCGTGTTGTGTTCTGAGTTCACATGACCCCTGCAGCCTCTAGAGGCGCTACAGCCAAAAAAAAATACATTGGCTCAAAATTGCGACAGTTCAACGTCTCTCTTTGAAAGCAAATTTCAATGATTGGAAGAACTTGGAGTTTTAAATTCGCCACTTTCCTTTGAGAAATATACACACAACCATGGTCGTCGAGGTATTCTAATAAATTCAACAAAACAAACAGTAATCGTCAATGTTGATAGAATATTGAGATAGTCACACTTGTTACTGGTTTTTTTATATACATCGACCCTTTTTTGGTCACGAGCAGACTCATCTTTGTTGTTAAATTTTCCAAACCAGCAATATATTTAAACGAGCAGTTTTTGTGATTACCCCAGTAATCGTTTTATAGCTTGGAGCACGTTTGTTTGCGAGTCCTAACACGGGTGGGCGTTTGCGACGCAGTTTAAGCTCTCGGATATGGCTCTGGCGCTGGAGAGCGCGCGGCTGCTCACGTGGAGAGCCGCGATGCTCAAGGACAACGGCAAGAACTACACCAAGGTATTGCCACCCACTTTACCGAATGTCGCCTCTGACTGCGCGCCGCTTGTGAATGCGTGCGTGTGCGTGCGCGTCTGTGTGCGTGTATGGGGAGCGGTAATGCAGCGGTTAGCGCGCTGCACTATGAACCCGGCGACCAGAGTTCGATTCACGCTCACGGCCAACACCAGTGACGATTATATGAACCGGTCCTGGGTCTCCCCTAGGTCGACTCGGCCTCAAATGAGTAACTCGTGCGATGTGTAAACATTGTAATTGGGGAGACAAAGGCGGCCGGGCGTGGAGCTGGCCACCCCCTCGTATGCCATTCCCGCCTTCATAGGTGCTCACTAATAGCACTTGCCCCAACAGTCTGTTAAGGCTATACGGGGGATCTTTGTCTTTGTATGGGGAGCGGTGCGACAGTGGTCAACGCCCTACGCTACGAACCTGGTGACCCGAGTTCGATTACCGCTCACGGCCAACATCAGTGACAGATATCTGAACCTGTCCTGGGACTCATCTAGGTCGACTCAGCCTCAAATGAGAACCTGGTGCGGTGTGTAAATATTTTCACTGGGGAGACAAAGGCGGCTGAGCGTGGTGCTGACCACCCACCACCTCGTGTGCTGTGTCGGTTTTCATAGATGCTCGCTAACAACACTTGTCCCAAAAGTCTGTTTAGGCAATAAGGGGAATCTTTGTCAATATTACGTGTAACATGGCAAGCCATTGTGTTATGTGTATATGTATGTCTGTACTATGTGTATATTTGTGTGTGTCTTTATTGTGTATATTTGTATCTGTGTATATTTGTGTGTGTCTGCATTGTGTATGTGTGTGTTTATTATGTGTATTTGTACATACGGGTGTCTATATGTGTATCCATATATCTGTAGTGTACATATATATGGTGTATCCTATACATATATATGGTGTATCATATATGTATTTGTGTGTGCGTGCCCCAACAGTCTGTTCCGGCTATATGGGAGATATTTGTTTTTGTATGTATCTGTATATATTATAATTGTGTTCTTTTAGTATGTCTGCAATCAGATGTATATTTGCGTGTATGCATGTGTTCAATCATTTGTATGTATTTATGCATGTGTTGTGGACTTTCTTGATCTTCAGTCATTTTTTCAGACGCTGTATAAATCCGCACTGTTGTTACTGCAGGAGGTGTAGAACAATCCACCCTCACTGCGAGTTCATTCGTTGTTTTCATGATGCGAAGTCAGTTTCATTTGTGTCTTTATTTTTCATCTCGTTTGGATTGCATGCCATGTCAACCCATACGGTTTACCCGTTTTCTTGTGCAGGCAAATGTAGTTTTCATGTCCATACTGCGTACAGCCGTTTCAGTACAGGCAAAACATTGTTTTTGTCTTTGTGTTTCTCCCTTGTGATGGGACTTTATAGGATGAACGTTGAGATTTATAAGGGCACGGCGTGACCAGTAAGGCCTGAATTGGTCTGTAATAAGGTCGGCACTGATATAAGTGGTTGACAGGTTTGTTGTTCCTATTTTATTCCCCTCTCGTTTGTAGTCTCCTTTCTCGTTTGTAGGCTAAACGTAACACGAGCAAGAATATTTTGTAAAATCCATAAATAAATGATTGTCGGCAACATGAGTCGATGCACGTATCGTGAGCCTACTTATTTACATCGCATAGTAATACCCCGATTTGCGTCGGGGATGCGTTCCTGAAAGGTGCGACGAATATTGGAACAACGTAAATCAAAGCAATTGTTCCAAATTTCCAAAATACCCTCGGTAAATAATATATTGTACGCTGCAGTACAGTACATTGCCTTATGCGCGACGCAAAGTAGTTCGTTTACAGGGTAGGTGGAGGCTGAGGCGACGGATACCGGAAAGGACGGATAATGCTGTCAGCGACGTAATTTGGGGGGTGGGTTGAGGCGACGCAAATCAGGTAGCGGCGCTAAGGAAGCGACAACGAATTTGCGGAGCGGCGTGAAAGGGGCTGACGTAAATCGGGTTATTACTGTATGCATACACGCAACGGTGAACTGATTGTGTGGAAAATTATGCAGTTGTAAATCGTGTAGATAGGAGATCCCCGTTTATGTGTACGCGACTGCGTGTTTGCGTGCTCGTGTTAGGAAGCTGCAATGGCCAAGTTGGCAGCATCAGAGGCTGCCACCTTTATTTCACACCAGGTACGTTTTTACAGACATTGCCTTTCTTACCAACATCGCTCTGCCCAGTGGCCCCGACGCAGACTTGCTGATGAGTGCACATTTATAAATTTGAAGTATGAAATATTATATTTATTCAGGCAATAAGAATTGAATGTAGAAATACATTTACATGCATTTTATAAAGTGGCATCTTCCTGCCCATATCTAATGCAGTCGATCGTCAGCGATTTAAGTTCAGGTGATGTTCTAGAAAGGCCAGATTGGATAAAATGTGGTACAATTATAGTACAATCTATGCTTTAGCTATAAAAATACAAATATATAAATTAACGCATTTTTGCCCACAAACTTTTGGAACAACAATTTAAAAAAAATTAAGTTATGCCTACAAATATATGTCGCTGGAGATGTGTTAAGGGTGCTAAACCTAAGTATGAAATCAGTTTATTGATAACTAACTTTTTTGGGAGCATTTTTAAGAGTGTTACACCAAACTCACTATAAAGCACGGAAAGCCCACTACCAGTTCTAGTAATATAGCAATATATTTAATGTATCAGTTGGTTATGTAAGCAAACTTAGCTGAAGATCTGTCAAGAGACACGCTGATCATTATCTGTTATAATTTATACCGTACCTCCCATGCAGTACATCTCGAGGCGCCTGAGCAAAACATGTTTTAGATAATTAGCAAGGACGGAATTTCAGACCAAATACGATATTCAAATACCAGACACTGTAGAATGAAAAGCTTTAACCTTTTTGAGACATCCCTCTGTTACATTCACTTTGAACACAACACTTGTATATGATAAATGAACCCCACTCAACCCCACGTCTAACCCCCCCCCCCCCTCGGCGGTGCCGATTGCAGTCCATACAGATCCTGGGCGGCATGGGCTACGTGACAGACATGCCGGCCGAGCGGCACTACCGCGACGCGCGCATCACCGAGATCTACGAGGGCACGAGCGAGATCCAGCGGCTGGTCATCGCCAACCGACTGCTCAAGGAGTACGACACGGAGTAGCAGGGGTCGGGCGGCCGACCTAAGCGCCAGCAGCCGTCCGAGTTGACTTCGTCACGTGGCCTCCGCTAAACTAGCGTCCGCCCTGGCGCCGCTAGGCCTTGTGGCGGTCCTCACTGCCCCCACATTAACCGATCAGAAGTGTTTATATATATATTTTTTTTACCAGGTAAGCACCAATGAGCAATATAGCTCTTTTTCAGGAGTGACCTGGCTTTACAAAGTGACTTATATACGTGAAAATGTATAGAGGGCAAATACTCTGAACACATGTTCATTCTAAATGGCAAGGGGTGAACCGGAGGAGCCGGATAAAAATCCACACGACCGCAGGGAGAACATGCAAATTTACAAATATACAGCAGCAGGCGTCAGGGTTTGGATCGAACCCACGACCTCCTGTATGCCAGGCGGGGTAGTTAACATCTCCTAGGCACCGTGTTTGTATGAGATTTACTCCTGACTGTGCCACAGAGATGCTGACAAGGAAGATGAAGTAAAACGTAATGAATGATGGCAGAATGTATTGGTAGTGGTGCGTTTTAAGATGCAACGGCCAAAATTGCTTTATGTAATATAAAACATTGTAAAAAAAACATTTTTAACACAAGATCATGATGGAGGATACAGCGGCACGTACATTTACAGCTCTTTTGTCAGTCCACTGCTGGATTAGAGCCTCCTGTCTTCTGAACGGGTCGCCGTGAGATTATTTGACCATACTTCACGCTGCTCAGTTGGGGTTTGTGGAAGGTGGGGAGCATAGATTTACTATAAAATAATGGAGTTGCACTGTCCTGTACTGTCCACCACGTAGCCCCCCCCCCCCCCCCGCAAGCCATATGACAAACCTGCTTGCGCTGTCCAGGCTCAGACCTGCTTATATTCCGAGGTTTGATAAGATCGGGCACGTGCCGGGTGATTTGGTCATGGGGATATATAACACGTCTGTGAGGAAACAAGTGAATGACGCAGTTTGGTCAAGCAAAGGGGTGTTTGATGCAGCGGAGAGCTCAACCGCATGCTGCCACTCACCGACATCTCCGGCAACTGCAGCGTGACGCAACTCTCCGTGCGTGCACCACAGCGGCGTTTATGAATCTGCGCGCGTGTCGCCGGTAAAGTGCGGCGCACTTCATTTTTACGCAAGGTTTCGAGTTATGACCCTTAGAACTTCGCCGTGCATCTCAAGCCGCGACCGACGGTCTGAATTTTTCCAGCGAGCAGGACCCAGAATGTGAAATGAATAAAATGTATTAAACATTGGGTGAAAAAACGGCTTCACGCGATAAAGGCAAAAACAGATTTGACGATTTTATGCGCAAACACAAATATCGTTGGAACGCACAAATGTCGTTGACGCTTGACTTGTCCGATGCTGTCAAGTCTTACAGCTGTACTATTCTGAACTCAATACCAGTGCTGGTGTGTTGTATTTTTGTTTACTATTAATAAACTTTGAAGTGAAACAGTTACTTCTTGAAAACAGTGCCTCGTGCGCCACTCGCTAACCGAGCGCCTTTAATTTGTTATCCACATCTGTTGGTCTCGTTTTTCCCCTCCCTGCTTAACCTGAACCTCGAGCGGTTGCAACGTCTTGTACTGCACACCACTTATTCCTCAGCAATTTGTCAGATATTTGATTGTATCCGAGAGTATGGAACTTTAGTTAAGTAGGCTCTTAACTGGGCGTAACATTGTTGCTTGTGTGTGTGTGAGCGAGCGTACGTGTGTCTGCATGCACAGCAGCCGAAAATCTAAATTGGGGTCCCGGAACTTGTTGACCCCCCCCCCCCTAACTGCAACAAAATATGGATTGCACCATAGTTAATGCTTAGCCCCACGGTGCGTGTTGTGTAAGAACCTTTATGAAGCCACGCGCCTCTGGGCAATAATGCACCAGTAAACGCACTCTTCAAATTTAATAGGTGTCATCGTGGGTTTGTGCCACTCTCCATAATTGTGACCCTGGCGTGCCGTCCACGAAATTACGATTTGCGTGCTCCGTGCTCATGTGCTCCGTGAACCTTTGTGCCTCGTGAATTGCAGAAAGCACCCGCTAGCGGTGCCCATATCTCTAGTTGTTGTTGCGATCCAGACGCAAGCGAAGCTGGAGAAAACACCAGAAACCAATTTTCGCTGGAAAACAATGTGGATGTAAATGTCGAGACCACCATTTTGAATTGATCACATGATGTCTGCCAGCAACCACATGCAAAAAAAAATGTATAACGCCGTCACCGAGTGTGTTTTACTTTTCAAGTCAGTCCCTGAAGTATACAAATGAAGCAACTGGCGGGACCCCGGGGTCCCATCACTGCCCCGGGGTGGGAAAAACCGCGTAGCGACACGAGTCTTGTTACCTTACCGACAACAACAAAACTAGTGGTCAATCGATCGGCCTCGTCGAGAGCTACTCGGGGACACTAAGTTTCGTAAAAAATTGAAAAATTACACAAACACGTTAAATTCACCGCCTGGGGGTGGCAGTGAGGCTCGCTTTGCCAAAGAAGCTGAGGATCGACGGCTGACCAGGAGGGCGTCGTCGTCGCCACGCGCGACTGCGGCGGACGCCCCCCCGGGGCTCGCGTTTGGCCGGTGGGGTGGCGCCCGTCGTGGTGATGGCCGCCTGCTGCTGCTGGCGCTTGTTGGCACGGCGAGTCTGGGCGGGCGGCGCGTTGCTGTCGGGGTCACGTAGTGGGGCGGACTGAAAAATAATAATTATTATTATTGACCTGATTTTTGCGGGACCCCGGGGTTTATGGCAATGACTTAACATTGTTCGCATGTTATAGCGTGCCTATTTTATTTCATTTTATTCAGTGCGCTTAAGAATCATTGTTACATTAATTTGACATCTGTATGTATTATATCATCATACTCCGCAAAGTGTGACCTCGTGCTTAGGTGAAAACCCCACGGGCTCATTACAGGTGTGTTGTAAAGATATCTGCAATATAAAATAATCCTAACCATTGTTTCGTATCATGTTGCGTCTTCATACATTACCAATTCATGATTACAGTGGCGGCGCTAGGCCTAAGCAAACAAAGTAAATGCTTCGGGCCAAATCAGCCCCAGGAGCCCCAGGTTCATGAAACAAATAGTGTGGACGGTTATCTCAAATTCAGTCCAAACAAACTAACATCCAATTTAATCTCTCTAATCTCTACTTTGTCTGTGTAGCTCGTCTCTCGTCTCACATCTGTCTACATTTGTCTCATTTCACCACACGAGTATCGCTCGTCTATATCTCTTATGTCAACTCATTATAAGTGTATACATTGAAAGGGAGGCCCCAGCAAAATAATGTCTGCTTCGGGCTCCCAATGGTCTAGCACCGGCGCTGTCGCATTGACAAAATGCCCCGGCGTTGGTAAACGATTTGGCACTGAAGTAGCCATTCGCTAAGCATCCTTTTCCACTAAATTTACCGGGTCTATCTGAGTGTACCAGCACAGGCGAGTTCGCATATCCGTTCTAGAAAGCACTGCCGATGCACTTTCTATACAACTGCTCGCACACGAGTGAGCCACGAGACCGGACGGAATACTTTAAAGGAGCGACGCGCCGCGTTCAGCCACAAGACGCCAGCATTTTTTGGCCTTGGAGTAGTTTACAGGCTAATATACATTTTAAAAAGAGTGAACTTTATCCCCGTAGAAATCTGCTCTTTTGTGATCTGCCGCATTAAAATTGAAATTACTTAACAGCCTGTCCACACGGCCCACGCTTCACACACGCGTGGGCCATTAACGCGTCGTTTTTACGACTCGGATTGCCCTCTTGTCGTGCGCTCGCTAAACATCGCAATGCTTCTGTGACGTGACCTGCTCTTTTTTGTGCCGGCGAGATATGTCAAAGATCCACGATGCCACTGGGGGCTCTGAAGTTTTACAATGTATCCCATTTTAAAATGACAAAGATCACACGAGTTAAAGCACAAAGCGCTCATAAACGCTGCCGTTTGATTTGATGTCACACACCTTTTCTTCCAGTAATACATAATCATGTAGACCTCTTTGCTCCAGCACACTGGTCAGCGTAGGTTGGTGAACCGGCTCAGATACCACTTGCCACTGATGTTAGCCATAGCCAGGAATTAAACTCAATGCTTGGTTCATCGCCCGGTGCGCTAACCACCGAGCCACCACTCCAACCCACTTTTCAGATTTCATTCTATATTTTGATCAGTAAAATAGTAACCAGATGTGATCTTCGCCTGCTTTTTATCGGCATTAGTGCCACACGACAGGAGGCATATTACTAGGTCCACTGATCATATGGATCATATATTTGTATGTGTTTAGCATGAGGCTTGAAGCAATTTATAATTTTAGGGTGAACCTGCCCTATGAGTGAAACCAATGAAACACCAGGCATTAATTTTTGGCATCCCAAATGCAGAAATGTTGGTTTTGGATGTTTCCAGTTATAACCCTTTTTCAGCTATAGTTGTGCCAAGTTTCCTATTACTAGGCGTTTAGGAACATCATCATATACATTGCTCACACTCGTCTACATTTATAAGATTTTTAATAAATCCGTGAAATTACAGGGTGCTTCAATAAATGTTAACACTTATATGGGACTATTGTTTTTAATGGAAAAAGAACGGATAATACACTGCAACATGATAACAAATGTGATGTTAATAGCTTCAAAAAGTCAAAGAGTCTCCACTTGTTCGCCATCGTTGTCGACACGTGGCCTGGAATCTTCTCCAATTGGTCTCCAGAGCCCGGAGGCAGCAGCACATGTCTTCTTCTTTGGTTCTTTCGGTAAAGTCACGTAGAATGAGAATATAATAATAATACGTGACTTTACCGAAAAAACCAAAGAAGATGAATCCTTGCAGTCACGAAAGCTTTAAATCGAAGCACATTTCTTGTAGCATTGTTGCAAATTCTCGGGAGTGTTTACATTTTTTTGAAGCACCCTGTATATTTGAAAATATTCCTTCTGTGGGGTTGTTTCTGTTATTTGAATATGCATTGATATTTGTGTGACTGTCCTTTTTAAAATCAGAATATTTATACTGGAGGAATCCAATGAGCTATGAAGCTCTTTTTCACAGATGTCCAGTAAGGGCACGCACGGTAAGAAAGTTATAACAACAATCAATTCAAATACATGACAGGAGTGAAAAGTATAGGCAGGATATGCTTGTCATATAAACCTGCTTATCAGTCCTGCATTTAGTTAGCAAAACTATTTAGTGATGTATTTATGCTTTTTTTTCTGAAGCATAACACATTACCCAATATTGCCCGGTGGCTCATGGGGTCAGAGCACTCAGCCATAACTATTGAGATCATATAGCTCCAATCTGGGCACACAGTCGTGGTTAAAACACCTTCTCAATCTAGTGATAATATGATGGCCTCAGTCCAGTCATCAATTACTCCACCAACAAAAAAAACTCATGACGTAACTTTTTCGTTTTGTTCTTAATTTGGCTGAAGCTCTTGAGAAAAAAATTAACTAAATATTTATATTGTATTGACTCTCATGCGGTATTATCACGGCAGATCGTATGGGGGAATGGGGTCGCTACTGTGGAAAGGGAAAACACAAAGGTTGTCTTGGAACATGTTGGGAAAAGTATCGTGAAAGATGTTCCACAGCCATTCTCTAACATACGGGTTGCAATGCTTCTGAGAGATTGCCGAATGGATTCCTCGTCTCATCAAATGATGCTCTAGGGAATACATGTAATAACACCAGATTTTTACAGTATGCCGTAGCAGCATGGTCTTCATCATACGACAACTATCAGTGGCAGATACACGATAAGATGACTAACATTCACGTAATTCGTTTTATAATTGCTATGTAAATGCAATGCGCTTTTGCTGCCGTCTGGAACGCTGTTTCTTTCGCTATTCGGAAGCCACTGTAGCTATGCACTTTTAAATCTAGATTGAAAACTCATTTTCCTCGAACTGCTTTTTGTGTTTAGTTTGTTCTCCTTCCCCCGCACATTCAATTAGTACGGTTGACTACGTATGGTGCAAATGAAGTTCAACAGACATGCATACAAAAAAATAAACAATCACTGGTACAATATGTGCGAACGTACTTTTTTTTGTTGTTGGAGTAGCCGTGTGCCAGTGGTGTTGGGCAATAGGGCTCAGTGACCCCAGAAATCACAAAGGCATAGCGGCTAACTTGTGATTCTCTGGAACTGGCAGTGATGCAAAGTACGAGCCAGTGAGTGGACTTTGGATTAAAACTCATCCCGAATGGTGCCCCTGTCTGTTGGAGCGATGGGGTGGTATGCATGCGGATCGGTGGTCAAAGGGTAATTGTTTTCGCGCAATTCCATTTACTGATTTTATGACCCAAAACAAATCTGTGGCCGTCTTGATCCGCGATGCTGTTATTGTTTCCTCTGGTGTCGCTGTGGGACACTTTGGAAACTTTTGCTCCGTAACAACCCTCGGGGTCGTCTCTCGTGCGGCATTAAGGTGGACGGCTTAGAATTTG